ACCACACCGAGGGGAAGGCCCCCTAATAGAATCCTTGGATACTTGTTTGTAAACCGGCGTAGAACTATATATAGGGGGGTGTGTGTGTGTGTGTGTGTGTGTGTGTGTGTGTGTGTGTGTGTGTGTGTGTGTGTGTCTGTGTGTGTGTCTGTGTGTGTGTCTGTGTGTGTGTGTCTGTGTGTGTGCGTGGCTGCGCCTGTTTCGGATGTCGACGCGCGTGCACCCGAGAGAGACACCGACCCTCTGGATAATTTGTTGGAAGAGCGCGTGCAAGAGGACTGGGAGACCCACCTGCGGGAATATCCTCCTGCGCGAAAACTCCAACTAAAGGCAGCGAAGGGCCTCGCCATATGGTGGCTACTCTAACATTTGGGTTGCAGGAATGGTTCAAGAAGCGACTCGCGTTGCCTATGAACTGAGGAGCAAGCACACATGCCCACGCGCGCAAGCAGGGATGAGGAGGTGGAGGCGAGGATTTAAATATCTATAAATACGTTAGTTGGCAGCCTTGCGGGGGGGCGAGACTGCCTGGCAAGCAGGTGCTCGCCTGAGTAGGCCTGTCCAGTGTGGCATTTCTGGGTCGGCTGCACGCACCTCAAAGCCTTGAGGCTGCGGGAATTCCCGCAGTCCTCATGGCCTGTGCCCAGTTCTGCGTGGCCTCTAATGTCTCTTCTCTTTAAAAAAGTATTTCAGAGCTAACGCGCGTACCAGTGAATCGATGCAAGGGGCAGCCCAGTCGTATTCCAGATCTCTTTCCTCTCCAACTGCTTCCATGCAATAGTTGTGGTAGCCTCTGCGGGCTTCCTGTCTCGAGCGACCATCCATAACGGCTCTGGGAATGACTTCTCCGACGTACTGCATGATGAAGGCCCCCTTTGGAATCGCCTCCTGAGCAGCCCATAAGTAGCAGCAGGCCATACAGACCCTGATTTTTGGCAAGCTCCCCTCCTTCTGAGGTAGAACCTGCATACCAGTATCTCGATGTAACCCTATATAGAGGCTAAAAGACACCACACAGCAGAAGGCCAAAACATTCGGTGTCGTATATACCCACCAGCGTCCGAAGTTCCCACCCCGCATGTCGCGTCTTGGCAACTGCCACGCGATACTGCAGGTCCTCAGGAAGCCTGCCACACACACGAATACGCACACAAATACACACATAGAAATACGTACACAAACATAAACACAATACCTCCAACGCTGCGCAAAGAAGCAACAAGAACGCGTAAAGGCAGCTGGCGGCAGAGACCCCTTCCGTTGCCGAGCCGTCAGCTGTGGGGCCCCCCTCTATTCACTAAGAAAAGGGTACTGCTCAGGCTGAATCCCGCGGTGTCAGTGTGTCTCTCCCATTGCACCCTTGTTCCGCAGTATGGCTACGGCACGGTGGCTGCCTAAAAACAGCCCGACGCTTCACACCTATTGGCGCAGTATTCTGGACTGCATAGGCAGTGAGCAGAGCAGCTGGCGATGGGCCTAAAGGCCGAGAGGAATGCAGGATTCGCCCCTCCGCAGTAAATTCGTCCCGTGACAGGATCCCGTACGGCGTCGCAATAGCTCGGCAGCTCGCTGCACAAAGAACACACACAGGCAGCAGCCTGTTCGCACTTCCTCTGCTGCCCTCCCTGAAGCTTCTGCGTTTTCCCTACCGCACGCTCATCACGCCTTCGCTGGCCTAGCATAGCGGCGCGAACAACGCTGAAGTGTATCCCACCCAATGCATGCCCTCCCTCCCATTCTGAGTGCCTTCTTCGAGGCCCCGCTTGCCTCGCTGCAGCCCTCTAGGCAGCCGTGCGACGCTCTAGCTCCAAAACCCCAAAGAGAGAGAAAAAGAGAGAGCAAAAGAAAGAAAGAGAGAGAGAAAGAGAAAGAAAAAGAAAGAAAGAGAGAAAGACGCAGCGCGAGGCATCGAGCTGCACACTCTCTACGCTGAGCGTGCGTGCAAACTTCAGCTGATGAGGCACACGGGAAGCGCCATAGAGAACGCCTCGCGAGAAGCAAGCAGCAGTGAAGGGGAAAAGATGCCAACCAACCGTCACGCACATGCGTTCCCAGTCTGTAGTATCCACTCCCGGAGGCACACATCCCGTGCAGAGACAGAGCATTGAGGAGCTGGGCAGGCGGCCAAACAAGATATTCCTCGTCTGATAGCTGCGCATACACGAGAGGAGGGGTAGAATTAGCGGCAAGTACGAATTGCCGACAAGCGAGCACCTCCGCAGTGCAGCGCAGCGAAGCACACGTGCCTCAGAGATCCCGTAAAGGGCTTGCGAACAGACAATCCCAAGAGAAGGAAGGGAAGAGTAGAAACGACAAGCGGCGATGGGGAGGACGAATGCCAAGAGAAAGCGATGGCTACAAACGAGAGGGGAGACAGAACGGCTGGCGGCAAGGAAGAGACTAGGGGAAGGCTGCGAGGCAACGGGCTGGCGGTCCAAACGGCAGTGGCGCAACTCAAAACACAGACAGCCAGGCAGGCAGCATCAGGGATCGACATGAAGGTAGCAGAACACAAAAGCTTTTATAGAGGCTTCGAACAATGGCACATATACATAAACATATACATATACATACATACGTATGCATACATACATATATACATATACATATACATACATATACGTATGCAGAGAAAGAGACAGCGATGTGCGTCACGATCGCCAGTTTCAAGGAGAAGAAAGGGGGGACTGGATAGTACCAGAAGTCTGTTGGCGGTGGCTCAGCGTCGACGTCGTTGATGGCGATAATAGGGAAGGCTTCCTGGCCCTGGGAGATGTCTGCCCACGGACTCCAGGAAGCCGGTAGGGGAGCTCCCAGAATGAGTGAGCTTACAATGCCGCACGTTGCGCTCTGAGGCAGAAATGGGGTCAAAGATGAATGGACGGGAGAGAGAGTCTGACTGTGCATTTGTAGAGGACGCTCACTAGGGTGCGCTCTGTACGCTGCAGCGTCAGAGAGGAGCTGTTCGAGGACTGCGCGGCAAGTAGCCTCTGTTACTGCGACTGGAGGGAGATGGGGGCAGGGAGATCGGTCGAAGTGTCAGTCATACTTGAGGCAGATAGCAATGGGCAAACTGCAGCGCATGCGACTTGCTGACGAGGAGACGGGCTTGCCGCTTGCGCCACTTGAGGGTCCTATGTCCTTCGCTGCTGAATTTGGGTTTGGCCTCAATTTTTTCCAGGAGTCTCTCCAGATTCTCTGGAGGCGGCAAGGCCTTGCTCCCTCTGCCGCAGCAGCAGCTGCTGCTGCTGTTTCCGCTGTAGCCGCTGTTGTCTTTCTCGGAATCCTCGCCACGCACTCGACGGCCACCTCCTTCCCAGCCAGCGCCTCCCCAGCGCTGCCCCGCTGCCGACACTGCACCCTCTGCAGCTTCCGCTGCCGCAGCTGCTTCGTTCAGGTATGCGTCTACAAGTCGCTGCCTCTCGGCGTAAGAGGCTGGCGTCAGCTCCAACTCATACGACTCAACGCAAAGCACGAGCGGCAGAAATCCACACGCAGCCCAAGCAGGAGCATTCCCAGACTCCCACGTCTCGAGTGCGGCGAAACCCTCACAGCAGCGCTGCGAAAGGCTGGAGCCCTTGACAAAGCGACCCGCCTCACGCGCAACAGTCAAAGCGGCCTGGGCACAACTGACGGGGTCGCTCCTCCTGCTGCTCGTGCTTCCCCACTGCTGCAGCAGCTGTCCATACACCTGACGCGTCGCAGCAGACACAGAGGCAGCTGCACACGGCACCTCAAGGGAGTTCGCCCCATGAAATTCGCCTCAGAAAAAGGCCACTCCCTCCGCTCGCCGAATCCCGCTAAAAATAATTAAGAGCTATCAGCAGCACCGAAGCTGTAGCCGCAGTACCTGATATGCCGCTGCAGCAACACTTGCCAGACTGGCTACTGTAAAGCCACCACGAGCCACAGGCACAAAGGGAGGAACGGAAAGCGCGAAAGGCCGCGGCAGGTCGCTGTACACCTGAGCAGCAGCAGCAGCAACAGCAGAGCAGACAGAGCAGCAGTAGACAACACTGCGCCATCCATCCAATCCGAAAAGTGACGCGAGGCGGCAGCGGCCGCAGAGAGTCTGTTGCCGTGTGCATGCTGCAACAGAATAGAAGCAGGATCAAAACTCCATTTCTATCAGACGCAGCGAACCTCAACGACTCGGGTAGTCGTGCTTGTTAGGGCCAAATCATCCCCCATCTCCAGTTGCTGCTGTATGCGACGGTGAGCCGCAAACTGACGCTTCGCCAACTGCCGCATTTGCCTGCAACGCAGTTTCGACACGCGCGATAAAAGGAGCACTACGAGCAGCAGCAACAGCAGCAGTACGAGTAGAGCAGCAGCAGTACGAGTAGAGCAGCAGCAGTACGAGTATAGCAGCAGCAGTACGAGTAGAGCAGCAGCAGTACGAGTAGAGCAGCAGCAGTACGAGTAGAGCAGCAGCAGTACGAGTAGAGCAGCAGCAGCAGGTGCGCTCTGGATTTTTTTTGGGTAGACAAGCAAGGAGAGCAGCAGCAGCATGGCAGACACACGATGAGAGAATAAGTCTGCTGCCAGCACCCTAAGCAGCACCTTTAGAGCTCCTTACTTTAGCCGTTTGTCCTTATCCCATAGGGGGTGACTCATGTCATCGAGCCGGAAGTGCCTCCACCGAGAGGTAGGCGGCGAGTACTGTTTGGAGTGTATGGACAGCAGAAGAAACTTAAAGACACAGCGGCCTTTCAGCAGACGCTCCTCCTGACGTGGAGGACGGGTGCCTGCGGCTGCTGTGGCGTTTGCCCCCGCCGCAGCCGCCATTTCTCGGCTGCGAGCCTTTGTCTGCGTGTAAGACAGCAATTTGACATCTTCTTCGCCTTCTTCCAGCTCTTCCTTTACAGTGTCTTGAGTAGTGTCTGCGGAGGCGGAAAGCCCTGCTGCTTCTGCCGCTGCCCGTTCAGCAGCAGCATGCTTTTTTGGGGGCGAAGGCGTGGTGGACGACGCGTTGTCGCCGCTTTCCTCTCGCGTATCGCTGCTCTCTTCGTCAGAAGACATCGTTCCCGACTCGCCGTGAGTGCGGCTGGTGCTGCTGCGACTGCTGTCAGCTTCCAAGCCCTTCCCTCGGCCATAGCTCTTTGCACCACATCCAGCCGTCGTGGGGGGGGCACCTCCTGCCCTTGCGTCCCTGTAGAGACTCTCTGGAGGCTCCGCAGTGTCAAAGAGCAGCTCCACGACGCGATACAGCCCATCATATCGAAAGCCAACCTCTGGAGCGTACCTGGCAGAAGCAGCAGAGGCAGCCGGCAGAAGCAGCAGCGGCAGCCAGCGCGCACAGAGGCAGCAGCGATGAGCAGACGCCATGCGGAAATTCCAGCAGCAGCTTCAGGAGTGGAGCGGCAGGCAGGAGCGCGCAGGGGAGAAGGAGGGAGCGACGCAAGAAAGGGCGATAGTTCAAAGAGACTCTGGCCCCAGTCTTCTTTATGGAAATATGGCGTGCTGCTATTGGCTGGCAGTAGCGGCTGCACCTTTCGAGCAGCTCACTCAGATCGAGCTTGATATCCCCGAATCACGCGAACGGGGTATTCGTGTTTCCACGCAGTCCAGAGGGCGGTATTCTTCTGGCTGGAGCCGCCAAGAGCAATCAACTGATCCTGCGAGGTGATAAACAGTTCATAGCGAAGCTCAGTGCACTGAAGGGGGAGCCACAGAGCTCTGCGTATATGACGCATTAGGGGCCTCCGAATGCCGAAATTACAAAAAATTTGCAACGCAACATCCAGGCAGAGCAGAAGACAACTCCAGCTGTGTGGGGCCTCTACAGTCCAGGGCAGCAGCAGCTGCTGCTGCTGAAACTGCGGATGCTGCTGCTGCTGCTGCTGCTAGAACTGCTGCTGCTCTTACCCCCGGATAAACAGACGTGTCCTGGGGATCTGGATTCTCTCCATGCACAATCAGCATGGTGCCCTTGTCTTCGAAGCGGCTGTCATTCAGCAGGATCGAGGTGGCAGTTTCTGCGAAGACAGCGAGGAAGGGCGCGGATGGGTAGTAGACAGCGAACCGCGAGGGCGTGAAGGAGGCTGCTGCCGTGCAAGCAAGACTCCGAGAAAACGTGCCAAGGCAAGAAATCAGGAAAGCATGGCAAGAAATCAGGAAAGCATGGCAAGAAAGCAAGAAAGCATGGCAAGAAAGCAAGAAAGCGTGGCAAGAAAGCCATACATACGCGCACTCGGGAGAGAAAGCACTGAAGACGGTGTGAGGCACGCAGGATACGAGAGAGGACGGAGGGGGGTGGGGTGGATGTCATATTTCGACTGTCACCCACAGCCGAGGGTGGCCGTTGAGGATGCACTCCATGCGGGTTGATAAGATAGACGCAATCAGACGGGGGAGGCATGAGAAACAGCTCGCGGCGCAGCGCAGATTGCACAGCAGAGTGGAAACAGAGGCCTTAGGGGTGGATCATCATGGAAGCGTCAGTTTCTTGGGAGGAAAGGGCAGCAACGCGTCAAGGCACTGGGGAGCAGCATCTCGGCCGTACGTGTCTTGTCTTCATCGGCACCGACACAAATTCTGCTGCTGCTGCAGTGGATTCCCAAGACGCGCAGTTGGCCTATAGTCAGGCACCTGGACACACACAAACACTGCGAAATCACGCTCATATAGCGAGCGTCGAGAAAGGCAGAAAAGGCAGAAAGAGCGTCGATCTGGCATCACAAAGGGGAGGCTCGAGGAAAAAGGTCGCTTGTTCTGCGAGGCAGAGGTGCGAAGATGTGGCCGAAAAAAGAGACACCTCAAGGCATCCATTCTTGCTCCACTCCCCTCAATAGCCGGGACAGAGAGGAAAGGGCATGAAGAGAGAGAGAGAGAGAGAGAGAGAGAGAGAGAGAGAGAGAGAGAGAGAAAGAAAGACAGAAAGAGAGACAGAGACAGAGACAGAGACAGAGACAGAGAGAAAGAGAGCAAGAGAGAGAGAGAGAGACAGAGAGAGACAGAAAGAGAGACAGAAAGAGAGACAAAAAGAGAGACAGAAAGAGAGACAGAAAGAGAGACAGAGACAGAGACAGAGAGAAAGAGAGCAAGAGAGAGAGAGAGAGACAGAGAGAGACAGAAAGAGAGACAGAAAGAGAGACAAAAAGAGAGACAGAAAGAGAGACAGAAAGAGAGAACGCAGTTCAAGAAGCCTTGCTGTGCTAACCTGAAGCCTGGTGGCACTTTGAGGACCCCAGGGCCGAGAAGGTTGGGGGGGATGCGTCGTTCGCCAGTGAGGTGACTCAGTTTCCACAGGGGAGTCGATCCTCCAAGTTTTTCCTTCCCGATCAGGCAGGTTCTGCGAGGCGGGAGGCAGCAGCCATAACACGGGAACGCCACGATCTGCGGCTTCTTGGGTAATGCTGAGGGGCAGAGGGGGAGGAGAGGGAGGGGGTAGAGGGGGGAAGCTCAAAGTTGGGGCTTTATAACGTACAGCCCATAAAGTCAGCAGCGCAAGTCAGAGAAAGAAAGAGAAAGAAGAAGAGAGACACACATTGCACGCGCACGAAACGACAACCCCTTGCCCTCTGCCCCCTCTCGGCACGGCCAGAGCGAGATGGCGAGGGGATCACGACGAATTTATGACGGCGAGAAGAGTAAGACGAGTTGCCAGGAATCCAGCAAACTGCTCCCCAGAAAGCCCCTCCTTGCAGGTTGTCTGAGAAAGCTGGGCAGCTCCAGGAAGACCTTCCAGGAGGCCGCTCGAATGGAAGGGAGAGGAGGAGGAAATGTGCAGCTCATATATTGATAGATATAAATATATATATATCTATATATACATATATATATATATATATATATAGACCTATAGATATAGATGTATATAGATATAGGGGGCCCTAAATACGAAGGACCCTCTTCTGCAAAGTGGGACTTACGAGGAAAGCAGGTGCAGATACTTGAGCGACAGAAATGCCGCTTTTTCATCTAAGGTAAGGTAATCGAAGCCTCGTTTGGGGTCAGAGGCTAGAAGCCAACCCACGTCGAGCGGTTCAATCTCCTGAAGGCTGTTGCGCTTCCGTTTCAAGAGGCCCTGCTTGAGGAGTTCCTGCCGGTGCTGTCGCATGCGTTCGTAAAGCGCCTCTCCCTCTGCATCCGAATCGAAATCCGACAATTCGACGCAGACATCGTCCTCGCCTTCCCCTGCAGCGCCCGCTGCTGCTGCGGCTACGGCCGTTCGCGCCGTCGGTCTCACGCCTGCCTCATACAGCACAAAGCCTCGAGGTGGGTAGTGCAGCGGTCGCAATTTGCCGCTGCAGAATCCTGCTGCTGTACGGACTGCTGCGGGAGCTGCCGCGGCGAGGGAGCGAAGGGGAGCAGCTGCAGTGGGGGCTCGATGTGGGGGGCCTATTGCAGCAGCGCGTGCCAATGCGTCAGCATGCGCCGCTGCCGTCCTTTCTTCTGGAACTATTAACATGGGTGCGGCCTCTGGACAGCAGCAGCAGCAGCAACGACAGGGGTTGCACTATTGCGCGCATGTGGCATTCCTTGAAACAACACTTGTCGGAGATTCAGCCCAAGCCTTCTGAGCGACGCCTCGCAGCGCTGCACTGCCCTCCCACGAGGAGGAAGATGCCATAGAGTTTTGGGGTCGCTTCCCCTTCCCTGGAGGGCGTCCACGCCAGTATGTGGAGGGGAGTGACCTCCCTATGCCCTCGGTGCCTACCTGCAGATACAGTTGCAGCGGGTACTTGGCAACTATATCTGCTTCGCGGGTGCTGATTCAGCTCGGAGAAACAAAACACTACGAAGAATTGCAGCGTCGGTAGCATGGCTAGGGAGTTTTTGGTGCTGCAGCTGCAGAAGAAAGCCCCAGGAGCCGCCCTCCAGAACCGGTGGCAGCATAACGACGACCAGCCCCGCATGCAGTTTCCTAGGCAGTCGCATGCAGGAGTGGCAAGAGCTGCTGCTGCGAGGTGTTTTCTTCGCTCTCAGATTCTTCGCCTGCTTCCTTTGACGCAATTCCCGAGACTCGACGCGTAGCAGAAACCGCTGCCAGTCCCCCTGGGCTTCCTTTTGCCCGCCGCTGCCACCTCCGCTGCCGCAGCAGCAGCAGCAACAATACCAACTGCCGCAGCGTAACGGCAGCGTGTACGTACACTCAATGAGAGCGCTTCGTCCTGTTTTTGCTGGAGGGCCCCACACCGTGGCGGCGGCGGGGGCAGCAGTAGAGGGTCCCGCCCTAACAGCAGTGGCAGCAGCAGCAGCAGCAGTGACAGCAGCGACAGCAGCAGTGGCACTATCATAATGCAGCACCAGCACAAGCAGCAGCTGTCACAGCCAGCTCCCGACGTCTTGAGGTCGTCTCACAACGCTGCTGGGGGCATTGAGGCCCTTCCCAGCAGCCGCATGCAAGCCTTGGAGCTTGCTGGAATGTATCCAGAGCAGCAGCAGCACCAGCAGCACCAGTATTTGCACCAGCCACCCCACAACAACAACGTCCACTGGTCAGGCCAGCGGCTGCTCCGCGAGGCCTCCTTTGCGCCTCCAGCTGCTCCCTCGGCTGCCACGTGGCACTCGACGTCATCTCGGCAGCCCTCTGTAGCGGCAGCAGCAGCCGGCAGCAGCAGCAGCAGCAGCAGCATGGGGGCTTTGCCACCCTTCCAGCCATCGGAAGATCCTTTGGCGTACTCAAGAGGCCTGATTGAGCCTGTGGGGCCTTCAGGAGGGGCAGAGCTGCTGCGCGAATACAGGCACAGTCACGGAGGGAGGATTCTTCCTAAGAGTGCTGCCCAGCAGCAGTCGCAGCAGCAACAACAGCAACGGGCGTGGCAGGAGGCAAGCAGCAGCATGGCCCCCCTCAAGGGGACTAGCGAGCCGCCGACGTATGCTGTGGGACCGTCAGCCGCAACGGTCCAGTTTTACGATCAGGCGTTCCATGCTGCGCATCCGCATGCGCATCCGCATGCGCATGCGCACGCGCACGAAGGCGTCTCCACGGGGGGGGAAGTAGGGGGGGCGCCTCCAGCGAGGCGTGACTCTGCAAGCCTCCGTCAGCACCAGCAGTGTCTGGGAGCAGGCTGGGGTGGAGAGTGGGCAAGTCGAGGACTTGCAGCCGCGTCGGCGGCACCAAGAGACAGCGGCGAGACTTCCATGCCATTTCTCGATGGCATTGAGGTGTCTGACGAGCTCGCCGGTCTTACAGGCTTTGGGATCGGGGCGGAGAGCCTTGACGGCGACGGCAGGAACGGGAGAGATGCCTTCTTCTTTTACGATCCAGCCAAGGATCCCCGCCTTTCTCAGCCACAGCACACCCCCCACCGTCAGCAGCCTGCACTTGGGCCGCATCAGCAGCAGGAGGCTGCAGCGCGCGCTGCAGCCGCTGCCGCCGCTGCCGCTGCTGCTGCCGCGTCGAAGAAGGGGGGAGCGGCTTCCAGGCGACCTGCCGCTGCTCCCTTCGCACTGGAAGAGGGGGCGCTTGCCCTCACGAGGCGTCAAGATATGAGTCTCTTCAGTCCACTGCCGCTTGAGGTGCGGCTTGTGCTTGCGCTGCTGATGCTGCGAATGCCGATAATGGTGGTGCCACGTTCCGCTTCCCCCACGCACCTCCCATGTCACACTGGCATGCCCGTCTCTCGCCCTTGCCACCTAGCCACATGGCCAGCTTCCACGCTTGCGTGTTGCGTTCCATTTTCTTCAGCCGCTGCCCTTGAGGCTCATGTGGCACTCCGTTGAGGCCGACGATCTGAGTCTTTGTGAAGGGCTGCTCGCGACGTGGCGTTTGCCGTTGGAGCGCCTGAAGCCTCTGCTTCTCATAGACAGGCTTGCTCCCGAGGAGGAGCCTTGGATTTCCGGTAAGTGCCGCCTCGCGTGGTGGACAGGGGGGAGAGGATGGAGGCGAAGGGGGGGGGGGGCGAGGGCCTAGCCGCAGCACTAAACGCTCTCTCGACAAGGGGCTTTCGAGCTCTAGAAAGCTGGAGCTGTGTTGGCTTGTTTCATGCATAGCTATATATATATATGTCTACATGTATGTATTCTTTAGGCACGACGATGCTTGCCGTTATTGGCCTTCCTGTTGACATTTGCTGCTCTCACGCTGGCGCGCTGCTCGCTGCAGCGTGGCTTCGAGCAGTGGGGGCGTCGCCGGATACGGCTCTAGACGAGGATCTCCGTAGAGGTATTCAAGTCTTCAGAGAGGGCGGCCTGCTGGCTGGCAGCAGCCCTCCTCTGCTGCATGACGGCGCGAAAGACTTTCAGTTTCCGCAGCACCATGCAGGGAGTGCTGCCACCCTTTGGCCCCCCGTCTCTCCCTCTGACGAGCTGTCGGGGGCTGTAGAACTCTTCGATCACTACGGACCGTCCAATTCAGTCCCCAGTGACGTGGCAGCTGCCCCTCCGCTTACTTTCGTTGCATCTGCTGGAGCAGAGGCCTCTGCGCCTCTCGGAGGGGCGGCTGGCAAGTGCGGCCCGGTCGGCTCTGCGTTTCCACGGCAGCAACAGCAGCAGCGGCAGCAGCAGCACCAGCAGCAGCAGCAGCAGCAGCAGCAGCAACAGCAGCAACAGCAGCGGCTCGTAGGGATCAAGAAGGTGTCTCTCTTGCTGGGGGCCGATGCCAGCGCGCTGAACGCACTGCCAGTCTCTTCCCTGCGGCAGGGTGTAGCTACAGCGGGAACTGCTGCTGCTGCCTCCCCCCCCACTGGGCTCTGCAGCAACTCCCTGCCTGCCATGGCACTGCTGCATGCGGAAAACGAGGCGGCAGCTAAGAAGCTTTGGCTCGTCTTTTCTTCTGGAGAGTGCATGGTACGGCGATTGATTCTCGTGCTGGCCCCCTCGACTACGGGGTAGAGGGCGATCTGGTTCTTGTGATTTACTTGGCGAAGCTGTCGAACCTTCTGAACGACTGCTCTTCATGCCTTCGTGCTGCTGCTGCTGCTGGTGTTTTCGCTGTTCTAGGTGTACGGCTTCACGCTGGTGATGATGCCTGACCCCTCGGGATTGCGCATCTTCTGCGAAGCCGCAGCGGCAACGTTCTCCCATAATGACCTTTTGGCATTGCAGCAGCGGCAGCAGAAGCAGCAGCAGCAGCAGCAGCAGAAGCAGCAGCAGCAGAACAACGGGGGGCCAGCTGTCACCGCCCTCCTGCCATACACCACAGAAGACGACCTGCCGCTCCTCCAGGGAGTCGCCTCGCAGCTCCATGCGACGGCTGCTATTGCTGAGGGTTTAGCCTGTTGCGCGCTGCAGTTTACGTGCCTGGATGCTGCACTGCAGCATGCAGCTGTATCGTGCCGCTTCAGGGCTCTTGATGGGGGATCCGTCTTGGCGCTGCTTTTGGCAGCCACACCTCCACGCCACCCGCAGCAGCAGCAGCAGCAACAAGGCCCGCCATGCACCCTGAGGCTCCTGCCTGCGGTTATTCGGCAGCCGCTGCCTTCCAGTGCAGCATCAGCATCAGCATCAGCATCAGCCTCAGCGACAAAAAGTGCCGGTGTAAGTACGTCGCCACCGCTCCAAGACACTGAGGGGCTGCCTCCTGCCTTTGCGGAGGCCCTTGTGAATGCTACCCGCAATGCGCAGCAAGACTTGGCGGCAGCTGAGGCAGCAGCAGCAGCCGCAAGGAAGTCTGCCCCTGCGGATCCTGCGGCAGCAGTTTCTTCGCCTTCTTCTGCCGTAGTGGCAGTCCGTTCCAAACCTGCTGCCTGCGCAAGCGACGGGAGCAGCAGCAGCAGCAGAGGCATGACATCCCACATGCCTAAGACCACCGGTGAGGCGGCTCCGGAAGAAGCAGCCTCGAAGTCATCGGCAGGGGCATCTAGTGTTGCGCCTGAGTGCAGCAGTACCAGTATTGCGACTACTACTAGCAGCAGCAGTAGCAGCAGTAGTAGCAGCCATGCTGGCGCCGAGTTGGGTACTGCCGCAGCAGTGCTCGCTGCGGCTACAGCCCCTGCCACCAAAGCAAGCGCCTCGAAAGCCTCCGCGACTTCGTCAGGCGCCGCACTGGTGGGTGTGAACCGTCCAGCTGCGAAATCCTCTGTTGGTTTCGCCCGCCCCGTAATGCAGCCGCCTTACCCAGCCGGGATGGCAGCAGCCGCTACTGCCGTTGCTGCAGGGGACCGATATCCTCCTCGGAAGCGCCTCCGCCGTCTGCACAGGAGCAGCAGCAGCAGCAGCACTTCCAGCTCCAGCTCAGAGGGTGAAGAAGCGACCAGGAAACAGCAGCAGGCTGCGCGCCAGCAGCAGCAGGAGACGCGCAGGGTGCAGCCTGCTGCAGCAAAGGCCTCCCCCAAGGTGGCCAGGCTGATGGCACTGGGGCATCGCTCGTGTGCGGTGTCGTCTGCTCCTGCAGCGGCAGCTGGAGGAGGAGAGGGGCCCCCCGTTCGTGCTGCTGCTGCTGTCTCTGACAGTGCTGCACCGGGGGACGAGAGGACAGGGGCAGCGGAGGCAACTGCGGCACCAAAAGGTGGAAAGCGGATGGAAGAGACTCCGGATCTTCCTGACGCAACGGGGGGGAAGGACGGTGCTGCACTCGAGGGCGACGCGCGCATGGAGGTCGCATCCACGGATACTCGCGGAAGCAGCGCAGCAGCTCGGGGCAGTGGAAGAGGAAGGCGGGGAGCTAGAAGGGGTCGAGGGGCGAGGGCTGCAGTGACGCCTGTAAGAGTTTCCCCCCGCTTGGCGGGTGCAGTTCCGATTCTAGGAGTTGGTATGTGGGCTCCCCCGAACTGGGGTAGTCCTCAAGCAGCGGCGGCAGCAGCTGCTGCTGCTGGCGCGGCTGCCGCGGTAGCGGCACAAGGGACGCTCCAAGCAAGGGCCTTCGTCTCCGAGGCTGCGTGGATCGAGGCGAGCAGCAGCAGCAGAAGCAGAAGCCGAAGCAGCAACAGCGGGGAAAGCAGCCGTGCCGGCAGCTTCTCCGCGAGCGACAGGCAGAACAGAGAGGAGGAGGAGGTGGCGGGGCAGGCGTCAAAGAGTGGCGCCCCTGCCGGGAAGACGGAAGGAAGGACTGCTGCACGCGACAGAAGCCCTCTCGTTGGCGATCTTGCGGACAGCTCCGCTTTCGGCGGCAGAGGCGACAGCACTGCAACGGCAGACGCCGTGCCGCCTGTAGCCTTAGCAGGCCCCCCGAGTCCAGTGCGTGGCGAGAAGGCTGCAGGTGAGGCTTTAAAGGGTAGTGGGCAGCTGACGGCATCAGGCAGGACCTGCATTTGCCGCAGGAGATGCACAGAAGACTCACGGGTTGTCTGTACGACGGGCATCCTGTGCATTGTTTTGTGTGCTGCTCAGATGTAAGGCCCTCACTAAAGGGGGGGGGCGCAGGGGGGAGGGGGCGGCGGGGACCTTCCAGCCGCAGGAGCAGCGATTCGACTTCCAACAAGGATGGTGCCAGCAGTTCTAGTAGCTACACTACTACCAGCAGCAGCAGCAGCAGCAGCGACACCGCCAGCAACAGCAGCAGCACAGACAGCAGCACAGGCGCAACTGGCAGCACCAACGGTGCACCTGAGAAAGAAATGCCTCCTTCCCCGCAGGGTGAAATGCACTCAGCGGAGGACGAGCACGCCTCTCAAGAGAGGGGTTCAGGACCTGGCGAAATGCTGCATGCACAAGGTCCTCTCCCGCCGCGCCGAGGCATGAGAGGAAGGCCTCGTTCGAGAGGCCTCGGAAGGGGCCCCCCCAGGGGAGGGGGCCCCCCCACGCTGCGGTCCCCTGGAACCGTCAGGCGCTCCCACAGACTTGTCTCGGGGGGTTCTGAGGCTGAGGGTGCGTAAGCGGCGTTTCTTGCAGCGCATATGCGGTCCCAAATAACGTGTGGGCGAGCCTTATGAACGTGGGGTTACCCCCATGGAGGAGAGTCACGGCGGTCCAGGCCGCCGCTATTACCCTTTGCCTATTTCTATGTTCCAGACACTTATGTGCCGACTATACGCCGAGGGCTGGCCTCTATTCATTAAGGTCCTTTTATCTGCCGTTGAGGCACTGTCGAGGATACGCGTAGGGCACACGTGCTAGTCTGGCAGGACCTTTTGTTACGCCTCTTTGCTTTCTGGACTTTTCTATTTTCAATGTAGGCATGCAGGCGGCCCCTTGGGAGAAGCTTTGAATCATATAAGCACCATGAACACACCGAGAAAGCGAGACGAGCTCTGTTCTGCGAAGCTCTGCACGATCCTGAGGCCCTTAAAAGAGTTGTGGAGACCTTCCTTTTTAGCGTAGAGCGTCTTTTGGCCAGGAGCGCCTGCTACTCAGTCTAGGGGGCATATATACCGAGAGCAGAGCGCCGTGTTTAAGTGCCCTAGAGGCTCTGAAGATCCCTAAGGCTACATGTTGGTCCCGGGTGTTCCCGCGGTAGAATGACAGCTGGGAAGGAGGGGCAACCATGGAACGGAGTAGTGTCAGGACAGAGGGGAACGCTTAAGGAGAACAAGGTTGCACCGCATGGGACCTGTTTAGGCGCCTTTTAAGTGCGCAAGCGGCTTCATGGAGAGCCGTGCGTGGACAACTGGCGACACTTGAGTTCAGCAATCCCCCAGCAGCTTTGCCGTATGGGGACCGCAGCAACGGGATAGGCACAGGCCTTCCCGCCTCGGAGGCAGCCAAACGAGTCCAAATGGCTTTTTTTAGGGGTTGGTAGCTCAGGACTCAAGAGAAGACTCGTGTGTATGCTACTAAGGGACCGCCGTCCTAGGACCGCTCTAGCGCGGGCAGTGTCGCTAGGCGGTGCGTTGCAACCGCCTGTGCGGCCTCCTCTTACGGAGGAGATCAATAAGCAGAGCACATCTAAATGCCTGTCAACTTTTTTGCTGGCTCAATAGAGAAGGATGGCGGCGAAAAAAGGCCGGCATGAGACCCCGCGGACCGTTGACCGTGGTGGGCCGCATGTGGCCTACACGCAAAACCAGCGAGGGCATGTTTCTGCTAGGAACACACCCTCTGATTTGAAGTATAAAGAAGCAGTTCACCACAAAATAGTCGGATGGCGTCAAACAGGCTGTGAAGAGGACGCTCAGGAGAAGACGGGGGGGCGGAGGGACGGAGGCACTGGTGTCTCGGCAGTGGCCGGTCGGCTGCGGAGGGGCCCCTGCCCCTTCCTCTGTCTCTAGGGGCCCTAAATGCCTTAGACAGCCGCTCTGCAGGGAGACTGTCTCACTCTCTCACCTGCAAGCCGCTTCTCTTCAATACCTTTCCGTCTCCTCGCCCTCGGTGGACTCCCCTGAAGCAGCTGTCCCTTCGCTAGGAGTCTGCAGTCGTAGGGAGCCCAGCACTCGCCTCAGCTGCCAAACAGCTAATCTTTCCTTCTCCCTTCATGGGCAAAAGGGCTACGCAGCCTGTGTCTAGCGGCCGAACTTGCTGGACCCTCCCTCCCGCCAACGGCGCTAGGAGGGACAGCCACGCTTTCCAGCTACACTGCCGCTGCTGCCGCTGCTGCCGCTGCTGCCCTCAGCAAGGAGCTCTCCTCAAGCACCGCCTCAGCGAACTTAGGAACTCTGCCACTGGAGGACCCTCAGGGGTCCCTTTCCAGTACTTTCAGCAGCATGCGGCCTCGCGCGGCTGCTGCAGCAGCAGTACTGCTGCTTCCCTCTGTTGGAGGTGCTGCCCTTCCTTCTGCTTCTTTCTGGGCCACAAAGGAACCGCCATCCACCGGAGATATCGGTTCTTCTGGCGAAGGAGATGGACCCTCTGAACCATCCACGACGCCCAGGGGCCCCCTCGATTTGAAGTCCGTATTGCGGTTCGCCGTGCCTTTTGTGGCTACTCGTGAAGAGGCCCAAGGCCTCCCCAAAGACACCTACAACACTGCCTCAGCATGGCCCTCAACAGCCACAGCGAGCACACCCGAAGCACCCCCCCCTCCCTCAACAACCACTACTACTGCAGCGGCGACTCCAAAAGAGGATGCAGCCTCTCCGAGTACCGCTACCAGCAGCAGCGGCAGCTCCTCCACGCAGCTTCCCACGCGGCCCCCCGAACACTCTGCCTTCAGTACACTCAACCTGCTGGTGCTATCTTCTTGCCTGCTCCTATGTTTTTTCCTAGGATATTTGGGCCATACGCAGAAGATAAAGCACCTTCCAGATTCCGCCGGGGCCATGCTGGTGGGGGCAGTGTTCGGGCTCCTTATTCGGCTGCATGCACATTTCACGGATTCTGGAGAAGGGGAGGACGGTGGGGTCTTCTCCGGCGCAGTGCCTTTCGCGCAGCACCTGCCGATTTCTCCCTTGGGAACGCCCCGGAACCTGAACAACGGGGGCCCTCCAGGGGCCCTCGCAGGCTTGTACTTCGATCCCCAGTTTTTCTACTTGGTGCTGCTTCCCCCTATTGTGTTGGACGCGGGGCTCAGCGTTGCGCAGTACGACTTTCTAAGAAATGGAGGACCAATTTTGATGTTTGCCGTGTGCGGAACTCTGGTCAGCGCCCTCTTCATCTACGGCGGTTTGAGTGTAATCAACGAGTACTTGGCCAATATGGGTCTACAGGGACCCCCCCACAAAGTAAGGGCCTTCTTTTGGGCGTTCGCGGCTCTCATTTCTGCTACAGACACAGTCGCTGTCATGAGTCTCCTTAACTCGCCGCGCTTCTTTACGCGCACGAAGGAGAACCGACTGGTCCACCCCAGATCGATTGCTAGATATGGCGGACAGCATGTTGTTAGGGAGGGCGGCGAGCTGGTGTATGCTTCGTCGAGCACTGCTGTCTCCTTCGCGTCCCCTACGGGCCCTCCCCCAGGGAAGGGGGCCCTTGGCGGCGGGGGCATGCAGGGAGCCAGCCTGTCAGCCGCTGAGCAAAAAGCTGCCTCAGAGCGGCCGCATGAAAGGACATGCGAGGATCTCGACGAAGAATCCTCTGGAGGTCTCTATGAAGAAGCTCCCGAAGCGCCCTCAGAGTTTGGAGGCACCTCCGAGGCGCCATACCATCGGAAAGGGCGGCATGTCTCTCCAACCACATGCAAAAACTTTGGACAGTCGCATCGGAGGACCCTGCAGCCCACCAACGACAGCAGTAGCAGCAGCAGCGCAGCAACAGGAGAAGCAGAGGGCAACTCGGTGTCGCTTCCCTGCATGCAATCCACTCTGGTGAACTCTAACTTGGTCTCTATATTGATGGGAGAAAGTGTTTTGAACGATGCAGTTTCCATAGCCCTCACGCGATCTGTCTTCAAGTTCTTCTTTTCGGACGATAAGGACGTCATTCTGAATGCTGGAGTTGCAGACGTGAGGCGTAACCCTCCGCCGCTGCTGCTGGTGTTGCTTCTGCTGCTGCTGGTGTTGCTTCTGCTACTGCTGGTGTTGCACTTTCGGCTACCGGTGCCGCTTTTCGTGATGGCGCCCACTGACTTCAGGGTGCTGTGGCACGGCCAGCTCTCCTGCCTTTTGCTGCAGCAGGTGCCGCCTCATAGGACCTTTCCTGTACTTCGGGAGACATGTTGCCAAAGTGTTTCCTTTGCCTTTGCTGGCGTGCAGATCGTCATAGATTTTTTACTGGTCCTGTCGGGGAGTCTCCTGTTTGGCGTTGGCGTGGGAGCCCTTTGCTGCTGGAGCTTCAAACAGTCCAAGCTTAAGGAGTAAGAAAAGGAGGCGCTGAAGGGCTTTCCAGGGACCTATCAGGAAAAACTTAAAGTGCCGAAAAGGTCTCCTAAATCCTAAGCCGATAAGGGCGACGCACTGTTTTGCAAAACCCCGTTTCTCCCGCCTCCATCCCGTGAAGTTGCCGCTACTCTCAGTCCTGCCACCTGCATGCGCTGTCATGCGGCTGCGGGCTCTATTCTGCTCCAGACTGCCTCAATATGAGGTTGCAGTAACGCTCTTGAGCGCATACGTGGCCTTCGGGACGGCAGAGGTGTTGGAGCTCAGCGGTGTCGTCTCCTTGTTTGCATGCGCCGCGATGCTCTGCCACTTTAATACGTAAGAGAGCGAACACGGAAAAGGAGGCCGGCGGCTGCGCACCTTTTGGTTGCTTTCTTTACGCCTTTCCCGATTTCTCCTTTCCTTCTGCCTTCCCTCTGGTATTGGAGGACCGCTATTCTGCAGAGTGCCCGCCCTCCCTTTGGCCTTTCCTCTTGCCTCCCTGCCCCGTCCCCTTTCTGCTGTGCGTTCATTCTGCAGTGCTATTCTTTCCGTGTCCTCCCGCAGCCACAATCTGTCGCTTCAGTCACGACTTTCGATTCGCCTCTTCGTGCAGACCATCGCTCTTCTGTGCGATAAATGCGCCTTTGCGTACTTGGGAGTTGTTGCGTCTCTCGGTTTCGGTGAGGCAAGCTCAGCAACAGCCAGGGTAGGAGGAGCGCTGTCAATGGACATCCGAAAAGTGAAGGCAGTAGCAGCAACAGCAACAGCGAAAGGCAACTACTGACTGCGTGCTCGGCTTATTGCGGACACGGAAATCTCGGTGCCTTGTGTATTGCATGTGTGTGATGGCGTGTAGGCCACGGTTCATGGAACTTTTTCTTTGCGGCCTGTGGTCTTCTGCTCATTGGGATGAGCCGCGCCGCCTTTGTTTTCCCCTTTTCGTTTTTTACCAACAAGTACATTCTGTTGCTTTGCTGGCGGGTCTGCGTTGTGTCCCTCAATCCTGTCATGCCGCCGCTCCTTTTCCTCCACTACTATGGCCCCTTTTGATACGCGGGCGAGTGTGTCTAGCTCTGTTGCTGTTGCAGGAACCGGCGGAAGGCAGAACGCATGAATATGGGGCAGCAAATTATCTTGTGGCTGGCAGGACTCCGTGGCGCTGTGGCCTTCGCCCTTGCGATGAGTATTCCGTGCGATGGGGACTTATGGAGGAAACATTGCAGAGACAACAAGGTAACAGCTCACTCGCATCACTGTTTTCTCGTGATTGCAGCCGGTTTTGCTTTGTTTGCGTATGCTATTCGGTGGGTACTGAAGCAGCCCAGGCCCTTGCAGCCGTATGGCTCGCAGCAGCGACAGCCATGGCAGCAGCGACAGGCGCGACGCTTTGCCGCGCCCCTTGCTACCTAAGGTCTTTGCGTCCTCTCCTGCGGTGTGCTTGGTCTGCCTTTACTGCGCAGGATCTCGTAGTGACAACTACCTTGGTGTTGGTGGTGCTCACCACCGTGTGCGTCGGCAGTTCCTTGGAGTATGCTGTGATGTCCCTCAGCAGGGTCTACTCGGCGGGCGGCCTGGGAACCAGGCGCTCTTTGACTCTTCGGAGTTCCAGCACAAGGCCCTCCGCCCTTTCAAGCCCCCTGGGAGATCCAGAACAAGAAACGCTTGCAGCGTGCTTTTTGTCTCCCTCTCGCGGCCGCAGTAGCACCGCCAGTGAGAGCCCTACAACTGCTGCTCCGCAGAGACAATTAGGTAAACGCGTCATACACCGAACTGAATCACACCTTATTGTGTCAAGGGAAACAACAGCACATTAAGTGTTCATACGAGGCGTTGTCGATGCATCGTAGGCAGCTGCTGCGTCACGTGCGCCTCCTGCAGAGAACGAGCCCAAGTGGGCAGAGGTGTTGCTCCGCGTGGACTCTCTAGAAGATGGTAAAACAAAAAAGGCCTCCCTTTTACGTCTGACGACCATTGGGCCTGCTCTAAGCCCTGAGAAGTTCTCTGCAAGAGGCTTGCTATTCATATATGCTGCTGAGATGGGAACCGCTCCTACCTGGGTGAGGCAGGCGCTTGCGTCTCTCTGTTTTGACTGCGCTGCCTCTGCAGCTGCCATAGGAGAGAATTCTGCTTCGGACGATCCTCAACAGGAGACAGTTTCTTTCTTACGTTGGTATGCCTCCATCGAGCAAGCCTATCTGCGAGTAAGTAGAAGATGCTGCCTCCTACGTGATTTCGTGTGGGAGGCTGCTTCTGCTATATATAAATAGGCTTATCTTTCCTCTTCCCTGATATGTCCTCTTAAAGTGCAGAGCTCACCAAGCATTTTTTGCATTCTTGTGTGTCGCGTCCTCCTGAGTGTATCTACGCGTGCTTCTGTGTCGCGTTTTCCTGGACCTCGCTAAACTTCGCTGAGACCTTGTGATTGTCCTTGTGTTTTCCTTTCGCATGAGAGCCACTATGATATACTTATCAGTTTCTCGTGTGTGTTCTGCTGCAGCATTGGTTTGGTGGTGCGGCTGAGGAGCTTCCAAGCGGCGCCCCCGGTCGAACTCCCGCCATATCAGGTTCAGATTGCCTGGATTCTTCTGCCTTGAGCAGGGATCGATCTGGCGCCCTTGTTGAGTACTAAAACTCTATTCAAACCGTATTTTGGCTCTCTGATCTCTAATTACTTTTTACGCCTCTCTCGTAAATCACCAGATAGATTCTAACGTCCTCCAGAGCAACCCAACCTCCGTCCAGCCTCCAGCTGAAGCAGCGAGTCCCAAAAGACCGGGTTTGAGAACGAAGGGTCGAACAGAGCTCGAAGGAATGACGGCGTCCGTGTATCTATTTTACGTAAGAAGTTCCCGGCCATGCTGCCTTCAGAGGCTCTTGATGGCCTTTTTTCTAAGAATTCAATTCCCCAAGTAAATTCTTAGGCTGCCATGAGAGGGGAGAGGGCAGCGGAATGAAAAGGATCTCCGCAGTATTCGTATTTGGTGGGAAGGAATTTCGGTTTTGTTCTGTGGTGACGCCGCTACAAGTACTTGCCGCTGTCTGCCACAAGCGATCATCCAAGCACTTGCAGCACACTGGCCAACGCCTGAGCGACGTGAGCAGCGGTAGTGGCAGTATCAGCCCTCTGTGAAGGCTTCCAGTAGAAGTCTGGAAAAAGCTGCCGTTGAATCCGTTCTTCGCAGATCAATCCATATGGCTACGTGTACACAGATATTTTCGGAAACATCGAGTCACCGCTACTCTTCCATGTTGGTAGACCAGTAGTAAGTGGCTGTCATTAGTCACCCTGCATCCAAAGAGGGAAACTACACCTCAGAACCCTCTATGCCTCATAGGCTCACGCAGTCGTGCACCTCGCCAGGAGGGCTAGACCACTTTAAAGACAGGTGAATTCGCAATGCATATTCGAAAAAATACAGAGCACTGGCTTACCGGGTTTAGTGGGAAAGAAAGCTAAAGAGACAAATCCCCTACTTGGCATGAGTTTCATCGTGCAGCGCATGCACGGAGACCAGCAGGCCTTAGGCTTCAGTCCGCTACATACAGTTTGGTGCCTACCCTTAATCCTGACCGTGCGAGCTAGCACGCGTGCTGCATATATGGCCTACAGGTAGTACAAGAAGTGGAGAGATGGAATTCTTGTACGCATAGTTACAGCTGCATCCCGCTACCGTCTACCTGTGCAACCACTATGCTAGGAAGGCGTCTTCGATTGCAACAAATGGAAATCAGTGTTTCCACCCAGTGAAGAGCCCAACACACAGTATACTCCCTTTCGTCAGGAAATGATCAAAGGCAGAGACGAGCAATAGGATAATGCGAGCAACGAAGAGCATTTCAAAAGGGTGAACGGCTAACATAAGCAGTTGCGAAGGCTCAGTGGAAAAGAAGAGCAAGCCACGAATAAATTGTACCAATGTTGATACCCTTGTCCCCTAAGGAGTCGCATGGTCGCGCGAAACGTTCCTCAGAGAGCCCCCTAGCCCTGCGCAAAGGTGTTGCATCGCTCTTGTTGTTGCATCAAAGCCAGCGACTTTCTGGCGTATTTTCCTTTTTTATTCAGCACTTTAAAGTCATCTAGTCCAAATAAAGTTTCTTGTTCCTCTCAGCACAGATATAAGATGACGGCTGGGAAAATCGGAGGGGGCTTCTTGCTGTGTGTTGTCGCTTTGCTTCACGCTGGCGGTGAGTTCTCCTGCATGCCAAGCAGCGTATAAGATCTTGGTGATGATCTGGGATAGGGCTAGAATCTCATGTCTATGTCTTCCTCGTACATCCCTTGGTCTCTCTCCTCTGATCTGGGTACCCCTGGCGCGGCGACGGGAACAGGGCATGCTCGTGCTCCTAAAAGTCTGTCGTCTCTTTGCAGCACCCTTAAAAGATGCATGTAAATGGGAGCCGAGCTGGCATTTACCTTCGTGGTGCACGGAGTGTTACCAGGCCGGTTGTCGTGTTGTGATGCATCCTGTGGAATGCGGCACTTTCCTTCGTGGACTGGCCATTCAGTCAACCCGATTGACCTGTGTGTGCGTGCCTCTCATCCCGCTTTGTATAAAGTGCTGCTGACCCTGATTAGCGCCCGTGCTCTCGTCTTCTTTGCTGCTTGTTTGTGTCTTGCCCGCAGTTTTCTTCCCCTCCAGCGCAGCGCAGGTGGATGAGGTCACAGAAACGCCAAAAGACTTTCAAAACCCTCAAGGCACGACAGATCTAGATGCTTCGAAAGAAGAGAATGCCATCAGCACCGAGAAAGGAATTCTTGACGGTCTCACCGCCAGCGGCTTCGCGGAGAAACTGAAGGCCTTTCCAGGCTTGGGGGAGCACGGTGCAACTCTGCTTCAACTCGCAGAGGAGGGCCTTGGTTTTCACGCAAACAAGGGGGAGCTATCGAAGATGGTCCCGATGATTTTGGAACTTCAGAAGAACGTCCATGAACACTACAGTAAGCCCCATTGGGATGTACAGGGAGGGCAGTAGAACTGGGGTATGGAAGCGAGATACCACGGGCTATTAGCAGTTCATATGTTTTTACCTGCCAGAAGAGAGGTGGTGGTACGCTACCGTAATCAACAATAAAATTCATCGCATGTGCACCTTTTTCGTTCCCTGCGAGTTTCTCTGTTTGGCGCGTGCTCTTTTACCCTAAGGACCATTGGCAATTTTAGCGTTTCGAATATCATGTGCTTTTCTGGCCACACTTTTTTCGTGCTTCCAAAGGTGTGTGCTGAGGAACATTTTATCCGCTCATTTCTTTCAGTGGTTACCAAGGGAAATAAGTATCAACCGTCATCTCTCTGGAAGAGAGTTGTTGGGCGGAAGTCTCAGGGGAAAGTCATTCGGTCCATGAAGCAGTTCGCGCCCGACACGGATGATGGAGAGCTTATTCAGCAGCTCGATGTCGTGACGGTAAGCAGAAAACAGGTGCCACAGGAATTCATTCATCCGAGCTTCTTATGGATTTTGTCCGTCATATATGCAGATTTAGTTCCCCGTTTTGGCTCAAGTGAACAGTTTTAGGTATTGCAACTTTGGGTGCTCATCTCGTATGCTGTCACACTTATTGCTTATTATACTGGTTGTTACTTTTTTAGGTGCTTATGCACTAGGGTTCTTGATTAGTTCAATTGGCTCGTTTGTTTTAATCCGGCACCACACCAATTGCTGGATAGTTGTGATTTTGTGTGCCTCCGCTCTCGTTGGCTTCAACTTATCCTCCAAGATACGTGTCACTTGTATGATTTCCTTGCCTGTTTTTCCCATTCGACAGAATACAGCTCTGTGGTTGAAAATGCAATTGGATATGAACATCTCTGTGTACCGTAGTCGTAAATGGTTGCCTAGCGCTTTCTGATTATTTTCTCTTTTTCTGGCCTTGTTTTTCACTGTCACAGCAGCTGCTTCACGAACTGCACACGAACCCTCAAAGCGATATGCAGGACGTCCTGCACACAATCTCCAGGGCGATGGGTTATGAATTAGAAGCCGAAGACCTCAAGGATCTAAATACCCCCGTGCAGTGGGTCCATGATCTGATGAAGAAGATTATGCCCCTCTTGCCGTCGGTACTGGGAGGGCAGAAGGCGGAGGAGCTGTAACTGTCATTACGAGTGTACAGGAACTTTCGTAGAATGGAAGGGGGCCGCCCCCCATGTTCTCTGGCGCTGGCCTCTCCCTGACTCATTCCCTGTCATTATTACTTTTGCTTTTCCATGTAGACTGGCCAGATAGACGCTGGCATCGGGCAATGCACTGTACGCCAGTTCGTCTGTTGGAATTGGACATCCTTTTCTGGCAACTCTCATATGGTTGCGAGGAATCTTCGGTGCTCTCCAACAGCATCAGCTTCGGGGCCGTTCAAATATTGGCGCAAAAGTTGGAAGTGCGTATGCATTGCATTTTGCGATGGACCCTATTCTTTGCGTCTAAATATTAGAAGATGCTTTGAATGACCCTGGGGTTCTGCCGCCTTAGTTGGTGGGAGCACCTCTCTTCTTAGTTCCTGCCACTTCCTGATGACGGGACAGGGCGCATCACTACACAGAACTGGATAATCCTGTGAAGTAAGCAGGAACAGGGGGCGCTGGTAGTCTTGTGTTTACCTTATCTTAGCCCTATACGGTTGGTGGTGTGTCTAAAAAAACCTATATGCTAGAGGCCCTCGAAATAGAGAAAGGCGCGGGGAGGGATTGCGATTGGGGCAGAGGGAGGAAAATGGCATGTGGTTCCTGCGGCTAGAGCTGTTTCCTATTTCTTAAAGAATGTGAATCTTGTTAAGGGTCGGGCAACAAATGCCTGTAATTTCAAATTGTGTATGAACCGGCAGAGGGAAAGGATCCGAGGGAAAATGGGACCCAGCGATGTGCCTCTCGCCTTTTTGATAGATCTGGGGTATTCTTAAGCTTGATTCTCATGCCTTTACGCTGCAACGTTTGATGTGTGAGACTGGTGATATCTCTCTTCGTTTAAGAGACAGTTTACAAGTTTTCTGAGTCTGTGGGGATAGGCCATTAGTGCCGGGTCTTTAGAGCTAGAGGTTTGGGATGAGACGCTGCAGGGAGAGATGCTGCTCTCGGAAAATTTATCCACCTTTGTAAGAGGTCAAAATGCACAAGGCTCTAGAAAGCATGGGGTACGTCAGGTTGCAGAAAACGCCTCTTCGTGTGACACTTCCATTGCAGTCTACATAGGGAGACACTTCAGCCCCAAATCAAAACTCGATAGAATGTTATTAAGAGTCACTAGACAGGGCTCCATTCCCCATTTACTTGCTGACCTCACCCTAGAGGTTCCCGCATGAGGCAGGAGGAGGTGAGTCGGCTAGGGTCCATGGTGTATCAGGCTATGCTAATAATTAGGCACTTTCTAGCGTACAAGTTATGGTTAAGGACTATTCAGGAGTTGAATGACTACCTTGACTGTTTGGATACACTGATTACTGCAGAATGCTGCCAGCTCAATATGATATGAGCCATTTGGGGCAAGTATGAGCCAGATGTAATGTGCAACTATCTGCAAATGCTTGGAATGCTTTTGAAGATGCAGCAACATACACCTGAGTTATTTTTCTTTTCTCACGTCGGCACTGTCAGGGGTGCAGGCATGAGGATGAGATAGCTCGTTTAAAGACGCACTCATTACCGATATATTAGGTTTAAATCAAGTCTGGAGTCGTCTACATACGAATACCTTGAATGGAATGCCACAGTTTGTAACACTGCTTGGGTTGATGCATGTTTTCGCCGCTCTTCCATTGGCTGGGAAAGTAGTAGGATGTCAGGCATACAGCGCTCCATCTGAGACCTTCGTGGGGAACAAAACTCCAGACATAAAAAATTAAGCAGAAAGTTATTAAGTGTATGTCAAAGGAGTTTCCTGTTTCCGCTGCACGCGGCCATTTGTGTCCTCCACATGAGGGCGAGGGTTTACAGCTAGTTGTAGGTAGCACCTAGACCACACTCATGCAACATTGCGTACTCTTGTATGGAGCTCACAGTGTTCTCTAATGCACAAGATATGCCAAGTGGCCAAGTAGATAGCCAGTTTTCTGATAATTTTTAGTTAAATATAAGTAGTGTAGGAAAATCGGTGTTTGAGTGTGTATTAGCCCCTACATCTCCTTTACCCCTACTTCAAACACAGACCCTTCTGTTCCCTTCCTATCGGTCGAGGCCGAATGCGCACGGGCCAACCGAGTTCTCTTTTTACCGCCATTCTCCAGGCAGGGAGAATATATACGCAAGAACTGTGCGCATGCGAAACGCAAATGTGGGCATCCACCTCTTAAATAGGATCGACAAAAAGAAAAGACGCACAAAATAGCCAGCAGCTTACAGGAGACCAGGCCAAAACACCATCGTGGCGACTTGGAGGTTCGCTGGAGTTTGAATGCTAAACTGAGTTGTAGTCTTGCTACGGGAAAATAGAAGACAAATGTGGAAAGAGAATCAAATATACACTAGTTAAGCAGTGCGTCCACGCCTTCTCCAGAAATCTCTCTGATACCAATTGAGCCGGTTCGTACAGCGTAGTCGACTGTTAAGCCCCCAGAGAGGCAGAAGAGAAGTGTAGGAACAACACATCTGAGAGGACTCGCACATAACTCTAAATGTGGGCTATCCGAAGAATGGGCACACTTCAAGCAATTTTCACGGTTAAACTGTAGCTCTTTCATGCAAAGTACCCTATGGGTGGAAACAGTAACCAAGGAACCCGAGGAAGATTGTCAATGGCGGCTAGCGCCACTACCGAACCAGAGCTACAAATTTTTGGCAGGAAGCAAAGCTTGCAGCCACTGGCAACCACTGAGGCCAGCGTTCTTCACTCCATTTCACTAGAAGCTCTCATCAAGCGTGCTGTCGGCGCGCAAGAGTCCTAGACATTTTTTCTCCGCCTCCACATGGTCATCTATTCGCGCGAAAATGTCCTAGAATAATTTGGGGAGCTTGTAGACTTATTTAGAACGTCAATATTGATGCCCCCGTGAAAAGTGCCAACTTAAATGGGAGTGGATAGTGAGACACTACTGATTCGTGCACGAAAAGCTCCTACCCATCTGGTCACAAACTTTGTGTGATCACCTTGTGGTGCACCTCATAAAACCTGCTGATCAACCAGCACCAATTCCCCTGGTTTCAAGCACATAAACGACGGTCTTATCAAAACTCCGTGCTTGCCTCGCCCGGACTTTGCGTAGACCTTGTCTCTGAAGCTTTTTGTCTGCAAAAATGGTTGCTGTGTACCATTATGTCCAGCCCCGAATCGAAATCGCTCCTCAGTGTAGACCAGGGACACGGGAAAGCATCGGATGGGCTAGTCTACCACTGCATTGTTAGCCCACTCAGCACAAGGAAATCGTCGAGGCCAGCAATTGAATTTTCGTGATCATAAACTGCCTACAAGTTGGCCGTGATATGACACTGCATTACTAAGAGGCAGATGGACAGGCAAAGCGCACCAGCGGCAGTCTTTGAAGGCACGTCAGAATGCGCTACCAGACTTCGGATCCCCATCCGTGACAAAACGCCTGAAAAATACACGAAGCTCCGAGCCTAGAATAAAGAATAACTAAGCGACTTTTGAACTGTCGCGGAACTGGAGCAAGGAATGCACGGTCTGTTTTTTTGATCGACAGAGATGTTAATGCCATCCTGACCCTTGACGGCCCTTGACCTTGAACAGTTCAGCACTTGGGTCCACAGTCAGGACAGTCCAGCTCATGCAAATGACTGACGGGGTTTCATCTCCTGACAATCTGGGCATGACTGTGTATACACCTCTACCATAGGGTGCAACCCAGGCCAATAGAGCAACTCTGAGGGCTGGTCCAGTTTAGTGAGAAATCTAGCATAACCCGCAAGCACGAACATCACGCTCACTCTGTACCTTGCGCAGAAGGACACTGCGTAGTGAAGCTGGAGTGTACAAGCTGGATAGGCCCCGCTGTTTCTTCAGCAACCGCAGGCCATCCTTAAAGTACGAGTGCTTCACCCTTTTGCCGTTCAGTGTTTTAACAATGGTAGCAGGTACATGGCTTCCAATAGTAGAAGACTCAGGCAATTATAAGGAAACCTGTGAAGCGCCACAAATAGAGCAGTTGCGCTACACACTAGCGAATCTCTGCGGCCTTGCAAGAGTCTTCTCGCCGGAGACCGCATTGGTGGTGTCCTTAGGTATTTTTTACTTTAGGGTAGTGCTGCATGAGGCGCCCAAGCCAGAAAAACACGAGTTTTGAGATCTTTAAAAGGCACATAAAGGCCTGATGTTTGGTCTGTACACTGAAATTGTCTTCATGTAAGTAGTCCCGGCACTTCATAAACGCCCCACCACACCGCATAGAGCTCCTTTTCCTGTACCGGATGCCGCTGCTCGGTTTTGGAGGAGTGATGAGAATAGCAAGCAACAATTTAATGTTTTGGAGAGCCTGTATCTTGTTGAAAAGAATAGCACCCCTTTTCAAGTCGCTAACACTGGTCGTTAGGAAGCAATGGCGCTTATTGGGCAGCACGGGGGTGCCAGAGTAGTGGTAAGTTGGCCAATAACCCCCCTTGCTGCGGCATCTGCCCCCTCTGGCTTATCTACAGACAGTATTTTCTTAATATATCAATTAAAGAAGCAGCGATCCCATCAAATCCAGGAATGTAATCTCGGCTATAAGATGCACGCCTGAAAGGCGTTTCAATGTCCTTGCGAATGTGCAAAGGTAAAAGCCACGCCTTGTTTGCTGCGCCTCTTTCCATATCTGATTTAACTCCTGCAGCTGAAATTTGCAATCTTATAAGCACACTTGTTCTCACGAACAAGGAGCACTTGCCTGCCTGTACCCACCATTGCTTGTCTAACAACAGCTGAAGAGCAGACTGTAGCTGCTTGAGGTGCTGTCGAACGTTGCAACTATATACTAAGACGTTTATGTAGACATCCATCCACCCCTCCTTAATGGTTCATAGAACCAAGATTAGCTTGAATTTGCAGTTCAGCTAGGCCATTGACAATTTCAAACAGCATGCAGATGTACTGGAATTAGCGCGTGCGACGGAAAAGCCATTTCGTGGATGTCATCAGGGTGAGTGGGTATATCTAGGGAAGCATCATTGAAGTCAAATGTCGAAAGTGTTGATCCATGTAATTCGTCAAGCACATTGCCAATATAAGGTATAAGGATCCTCTGCTTCACAGTAATCTTGTTCAGTTGACTCAAGGCAAGACAGATGCGGCACCTTCCGTCTTTCTACGGCACCAAAACTAGGTCATAGCCAAGGGCGTTAGCCGATGCCTCACATTCTCTTTTCCACAAAAAATCTCCTGCAGCTCAAGCTCCTTTTCACGATTTGTGGGCTTCTGATATCTTGAAACATAGCTTGGAGATTATCCGCAAGTTTGCTCAATAAGGTGCGCTAGACAACCACCAGTTGGTCAGCCTGCTGAGACGAGATTATTCAGTGCATCTGCGAACTCCCGCTTGCTGTTTGCCCATTCCTGAAGTCCCACGGCTGAGAAAGTAGTCGAAACCTAATAAAGAATTAGTTGCATAGCCATTAAGACGGGATGCATGTACAGGAACGCCTACTCCTACTGCGCTGCTGAGCCGCCCGCACCAGGACGCGGTCCTTCCTAATTGAGAGCCAAATCCTCCCCTCCCAGCATAGATTGATAAGCGTTGGTGAGAGTATCAGAGTCTTGTTTGATTTTTCAGACACCTGGGACACCACCCTTCACAGCGCGCAGCTGTAGCAACATGTGCGCCCCCCGTTGGGTCACCCATGTCATTACTAGAAATTACGTCCTGGTGCATTGGTCCAGCACAGAAGTTACAGACCATTTTAATATGACTCACTTCCTATTAAAGAAGCGATAAATTCCGATACCTTTGCGAATCCTTGCCTCCTAGAATCGGTCAGCAAACCTGAGTTTTGTGGGACTGCGTTAATGAGTGAATAGGCAGATTGTCTTTGTGTGCCGTCTCCTTGGACAACAGATCGGCATCACATCCGCTGCCCAGGAGCTGTAAAGTCTCTTGATCATTTTTGTTATCTTACTTTGAAAGCAGAATCAACCCTTGGTGGGTTTCTAACCGCAACTCGATCCTCTGTAGTCCCCTCCACTGCGCTGCAACCTGTGCGGGCAGGGAACTCTCCCCGTTTCCCCTATGCTTTCTCTTTGAGTGTCAAGCAGCCAACTTCCGCTGGGCTTTCCCCCGTTGTTCAAGTTTATATGCTTTTAACGCGCGCGTGTAGTTCCGGAATGTATGATCCGATTTTCCACAATAGAAGCAACTGGACTAGTAAGGGAGCTTTCGGGCTGCTGAGGAGCGCGGGTTCCCCCTGAGGTTTCTCCTAGGTCACTTCAAATAGTAGGCGATGATCAGCCAACACAGGCTCGATATGCATAAGCCCTAGCTCTCTGTTCGGCCCTTCCTTCTAAACCGAAGATGCAGGAGTTGTGCTTCTTTGCTCTTGATACTTCGGGGGCTCTATTGTTTGGGGACGCTCCACCGGTCTGTTGCCTAAGAGCTGTGAGACTACCAATTCTGTGGCCACTTGATATACACTCTGGGGAGACCTAGGACAGCCCACTGATATAGCAGCCCTCATCTACTTTACGGCAATTACGGCCGGTGATTCATATATCTTGGTATACCGACATATCGAAAGACTTATCTGTTCCACTTTGACAAATTTTCAGTGTTTTGTGGCGTGCTGATCTGGGGATAAATCGATGATTTAGGGCTCATATGAAGGCGTGAGCTGTAGTAGTTCCACAGACAGACGACCTCCCCTACATGAATATCTAGCCATTGCTGAAGTGCTTTGCTAACGATAAACCTGCTTTGTCAAGAGATAGTTGCTTTCTATTAAATAAATACAAAGCAAGGTCTATCTTGTACCAGCTGATGAAGTCGTCGAGTAGTTGCCCATCCGTAGGTCTGTCGCACGTCCATGGCCCGCATTGTATCATGGGAGCTTAAAAACCTCGTTCTATCAGGTGACGAATAATGCCCCTACCATCTGTGAGACCTACGATTACATCAGCTAGCAGTTTGGATTCTGTCACCTTAACAGGCTTTGGGCTACCATCACCATAAAACACTAGAGGGCTTCTCTTCAGGCGCTTACCCGAAAGAATCAAAAGTTTTATGCCAAATAAGCGTATCGAAGCCAGACAACCACTGTAGGGAGGCCTGCAATCCCAGTGTATCCACAGCCAGTCAATACACGGGAAACAGCTGCGTCAAACTGTGATGCTGCCGTGCTGCCAAGTGTAGCGCTTCACCTGAGGTCATTGTTGCGCAACACCCAATTCAAGACTCAATACAACCTTGAAGGATTTTTAGGAAGTCTTTTTGAAGAGGGCTCTCCTTTCACTTCTCGAGACCGTCAGAGTTCCCAGACATGAATAGACAGGGCCTGCTAAGGTGCGCGCAGCTGCGCTCTCGAAGCACTTCACGGCATTCACTGCTAATTTCACGTAGCATCTAGCGCGCACGCACAAAGCATTGCGACTTTTTGGATCAAGCTACTAGTGCCCAAAAATAGATAAGGTTTACAAATTGGCAAGCAACTTATTCAATTCTTTCCTAAGCGTCAGCTGAATATAAATACGGTAGTAGAATGTGCTCAAGTGTAGCTTAACCTGCTACAGTAAAATCTTTCGGGGTATCTAGAAGGGTGTGACCATGCGGGCTGTTACTACCTCTCCCATTAAGTGGGAGTTTTGAGAAGCGGGGGCTCGAGAAGAAGTGAGCTTCCTTGAAAAATATCAATAACTTCCACTTAAATTTGCATTGCGTCTTTGTGTATACAGTGCCTCCTGGCGGATATTTTAGACGGAGCGCTATAATTGCTAACTATGACTCGTGAATTCTCCAACTGTGCTCCTTGCAGGAAGCTTGCTATTTCTAGAATGCCATTTGCTATTTAATGTCACGCGCTAATGAGCAGCAGTATGAGTCTCGGCTTCGGAGGCCTTGTCGATGCCAATCGACACGCGATTACAGCAGCAGGCACTGAAATAAGCTGCAAAAAAGCAAAATCTGTATAAAACTAAACGAAGGCATTCTCTGTAAAAGCTATCAATGTCTAAGTTCCTCCAACTCTTCAGTGATGCTCTTCTCGATGGACACCCGACGCGAAGACAGAGCGTCGGCAGCGGATCAGCAGGCTCCGGAATAGCGGCAAGCGAAGGCGGAAAGGTATTCAGTTAAGCCTATCAATGCAATTAATTGTAAATATCGCTGGCAGTGAACGGAATATATATGCCATGAACTTTTTCCTTTCATGCCTTTCCGTGTTGTATCGGCCCTTCGCCACCACCGCCGACTAGCGGCGTGGCTACTCGGTTCCGCCCAGAGGCCCCATTTGCGCATGTGACATTCCGAGGCCGTCTATCAGTATACACGGCCAGATTAGGAAGGCAAATATCACCCCTAATGCCTTAAGAGGTTACTACAGCCAACGTCTTCCGCTTCGGCCTGACCCGCAGGCACGGGGCCCACCCACTCGTGCCAAGCCGCTTGGCGGCTGCGTTGGCATTATCTGAGAGCTTTTTTCTGGCGTCTGGACGCCAGATTCCATTAGCTGCCAGTTAAATTTCCACGCAGCATTTGGCCCCGTCATTTTTCGGCTTCTGTGTTCCGACAGCCCAAGCGGCAACTCTTGCAACCTCACACCCAGTACGAGCGAGTTCTTCAAATTGTGATCCTCATTTCTGGCCCCCCTTAGTGCTCTCAGAGAGGGGCGGACTGCGCGTGGAGGCTTTAACGCAAACCTCCGTTATTGGTGCGACTGGTACCTAAGGGTTCGGACCCTAGGAAGGATGCCCGTCGCAGGAGCCCCCAAGCCTCAAGAGGCCCTACATGTTACTGCCTAGACACTACGCCTTTCGGTTTCGTTGACAATATCAGCATATCAACGGAACTGAAGAATAGCGGGGACAAAGAAAACGAGTTTTGCACCCCTTTCCCTCTAGAGGAAGGCAGGCGAGAAATCCTACTTTACTTACGTTCTCTTCCACCGTGGCACCTGCTAGCAAGGCCAGGGATATACACGTGTACCTAGCGGCAGAACAAATCGAAGAAATAGACAGCGTAAAGGGGAAGAGAGTGGCAGGCGTATGCGAAGATGGCGTGCTGCTTGTGTCCTTCCTCTGGCTCTTGCTGTTTGCCGTGCTCTGGAGATGAAGAGCTGCTTCTCAGGCAGCAGCAGCGAGAGAAGCTGCTGCAGCAAGTCCGCCTTATCAAGGGCCTTTCGAAAGCTTCGCTTCCTGTCGTTGCCCTCGACCCTGAAGCAGTAGTGGAAGCAGCGAGAACCAAGGCCCTAAGGCAGTCTCTGTCCTTCTGCTGTTGCAGCACCAGCACCGGCATGACGGGAAGCTCTCTATTGCTTTGGTTGTGCTTCTATGGTGCTGCACTCTTTTGTGTGCACTTTAAAGTCTTTGAACTTGAGCAGGTACCCCGGCCAGCTCGCAGTGAGGGGCTAAGGGACGGAAAAACTAAGGAGGATGGGCGGGTGCAGCAGTGCGACGAGCTGACCAGGGGCCTGCTGCGAATGCCTCAAAATCCATTTGTGGTGTCAACTGACTTTGACATGCTAGGGTGATTAAACGTCCTGGGGTTTCGCGGTGTAGCAAAGGCTTCTTTCCTGCTGGGCGACTGCGTATGCAGATTTTACCCAAGGATGGGATGATGCAGATCCTGTCGCTTGAGACCATCTCCGATTTTCGTCGATTCTTTCCGCTGGCCATCTTGGCCATGTGTGCTGTAATTTCCACAGCGTTCCTTTATGCTGCGTTCCGGATTTGCAGCCTTATATCCTTGGTCAGAGAGCCTTACACTCATATATGTATATATATACATGTGTGTATGCCTCTTGATTTCAGCCTGAAACTGTGGGCTGAGCGGCAGTCGCAACTGATAGGCTTTTCCTCCCTTCTGCTCTTTGAATTCCGATCCGTCTGCTGCCGCCATATTGCCAAATAGTGCGTGTGCTCTAACTTCGGGTGTATGCTGGAGGGTCGCTTGCGGAGCTAAAACGCTCTGTGGCCGCTGCTCAATGCGCTTTGCTTGCGGCACAGATGTCCACGGCAGTGGTTCTTGCAGCCGAAGAGGACCTACGTCTTGATGTTTGCGAATCCATCGATTGTGACTTTTACCGCTTTGTAGATCGGCTTCGGGCAGCTTTCGTGCCCTCAGTAGATTTTTCTATTGCCGTCATCAAAAGAGCCCACCGGCGACTTCATTCGCTACTTAAAGCCAGAAGGGCGCTCGTGGATCCCGCAGCGCAGGGGCCGTTCGCCATAATCCGAGATGTGAATGCCAGCCTTGCTTGCCCTCGATTCTTTCTCCTGCTTTTCCTCTACTTCGTCCCTTGGCTCTTTACCTTATGCTGCAACTTGGCGCAATTGCTAGCGATTTACGGGGCATCGGGCAGAATTGCCGAAGACTCCAACAGCGCAGTAACAGAGGCTCCAGGAGCTGGAGGCGACACCGTTGATAACGTCGCCATAGGACCACCTCCCCTCGACATGGAAACGGTACTCAATGACGAAGGGTTTTGGTTCATTGCTGGAAGCCTCCTTATAAATCTTTCGGCCGTCCTTTATCTTTCAGTGCTAACCAGCAGATGCGCTGAAAGCTGCTTTACCAAGTGCATGTACAGCCGCGTACACGAAGCAGTTGTTCAATTCTGCAGCCGCATGGTGCGTCCTTCTCACTCATACCATGGACATTTTTTTTTTAAAAAAAATCTCCTCCTCGGCCTCAGGCCGCTCTTAAATGTGTGTTATCCTTTCCGCGCCTGCTGCCTTGGGGCTTTTCCCCTCTTAGCGTTTTCTTACGGGAGCGCGCGCTCAAAGGCTTGTGTCCCTGTTTTCGGCTGCCTCCCACTTCCCCAAGTGCCCACCTGTCAGTGCCCACCCCTAAAAGCTACCCCTGTCGGTCCTGCCCCACCCTGTTCCGCCGGTTGATTTTTCTGCTAAATGCCTTCACGCTCCACTGGACGCCGTATTTTTTCTACGGTTTCTAAGTCCCGCTAGCCTAAATACCAAGCCCTCCACCCAGAAATTCCCGCGAGGGATGCGCATTAAATTGTGTTCTTTTCGCGGTCTCTTCATTCGCCCCTCGGCTGCCCCCTTCAGCACTCACTCAAGGCGGAGTAAGGCCGCTTCCACGCTTTCCGACGGTAACCTTGCAGGAAATAGCCCGATTCTTCTCTGGTGGCTTGTCTGCAGGTATCCCGCACTTGGGAAGAGTCCGTGGTCGAGGACCTGGTGGAATTCCTAGAGGCCCCTCGGAAAGATTTTGAAAAGGCCAACTTGACCACCAGCAGCGACCTTCACGACTTCCACACCGCGACATCCATCGCTGTAGCAGGATGCCCTGATGAGAGAGATCTTCATCAGCGCTTGCTGACCAGTGACTCTTGTGGGCCTTACCCGACGCCGCACCAAATGGCCCTGCAGGTACAAAGAATGTGTTGGGATGCAAGGTTCCAAGTGCACAGAGCAAAACTGAGCAACAACGCTCCGCTAGCAGGCAGCTGTGCACTAGAAGCCTTGGTTGTCATGTTTTAACCCCTGCTTGGTCTTCCACGTGTTCTGCCTCCCCCTCCTCCGTTCACAGTTGCAATCCTGCCGCGGCCTGGCTCCGCTCTTTGCTGCTTGTTGCTGCTACACAGGCCCCGTCAGTGCCTCCCCGCAGTCGCTTGCGCTCCCAATGCCTAGCGTTGGAGCCCTTCACCCTCTCTCCAGAGACAGAAAGCTGTCCTGGCGGCTTTGGGGGCCCCTATTACGAGCTAGAAGACCTGCGAGTGAAGCCCTTTTTTAACAGCGCTAGAGTCCGCAGGGACTCCATCGGAAAGGAGGAGGAGAGGGCCCCCACAGATAACAGACACGAGTGGAATAAATCTACGGGGAGAGAGGGGAAGGCAGTGTATCGGGAGGGAAACGAGGGCACCGGGGCAGACGAGGATTGCACGACAGTCTTGGGCACCGCTACTACGGAAGCAGAGAAGCAGCCAGAGGTGGAGTTAGAGAGGCAGGAGGATTCAGTCTCGGACTGAGAGAGGTCCAGTAATGTTGTGAGCCCTGCAAATCCAAACTAGTGGCATGCATTTTTAGTATCTTCTTTCAAGATCCCTTTTTACGGATCTCGCTCTCTCAAGCCCCGCCCCTACCTCTCACCAGCCCTTGCCAAAGGTGGAAGAACAAGCTGCCCACAATAAGGGCAAACGAACTCTCCATATTTTTCTTTCTTCCAGCTTTTCTCGCCTCTTTCCACTTCTCACAATAATACATCCTCACCTAAATCTAGAGCGGCTTAGTCCTGCTAAACTAGGAGCCCGACGCCACCTGCTACTACAACCCTGTCTTCCTTATATACGCCTGCCCGACACTTAGTGGAAACTAGGCCCTCCTCTACACCGTGCACGACTCCTTCACCAGTGAGACTCAAGTGTCGATTTGCTTCTATAACCTACGATGCCTGCGCGCGCCCCCTGCTGCCCTACGGAGGCAGGCCAAGAATCCCGCAGGTTTGTGTTTTCCAGTCTTTGCGACGGTCGTGTGTTGGAATACGCTTAAACAAAAACAAAAGAGAACGGTGCAGAGGAAGAAACACATAAAGCAACCAACGACGGACGGTTAAACATTCTATCTACGTGTTCACTCCTCCTTCCGTTTACATCTTACAAACACTAGAGGCTTCCCAAGATCCCACTGTGGTTTCACACGGGCAATGGAGGCGTAAAAATGTTTGCTAAGTGTTCCCACAAATTCAGAGGAAAAGGGAGAGGGGAAGAAGCATGCTCAAATTGTCGCTTGTCGAGACAAAAGAACGCTCCTGCATGAAAAGGCTCTCACCTCCCCCTGCAGCATTTAAGCCTCCTTCCGTTCTGCCCCAAAAGAAAAACTCCAATCGGCTTACAAATACTACACGCCACGGGCAGACAAAAATAAAAACAAGATGAAGGCAGCACCTGCCATCAGCGAGAGCCTATCTGCTGCTTACTTAACACGTTATGAACAGCTGCTTGCAGAACAAAAAAGCGATCAGGAATAACAACACACAGCGGAGCTAATATTTTCGGGTACTGCGATAGCAGCCTGTGCGCCAACCTTCTAGGGGACTTCAAACGCGGGCACAAAAAGTGTGGGTGAACTTTTACCACCTGCACCTCAATTGCACTTCCCCCCTCCCACCCGTCAGTCCCTATTCATTCGGAAAACCCCTAACTGGCGGCTCTCCAGAGGCGCTGCAGCGAAGTGAACCCTATTGATCGCCGCATGGGATGACAAAATCCGGGGTGGGGAAAAACTGCATCCAGGTGGATCATGCATAACCAGCATCATACATGCCTTCTTATATGATATTGCTCAGCTTCAGTATATCCAAACTTCGCCACACCAAAGAGCTTTTGCTTCAAATAAATTCTGTGTCGCCGTCTTACTACTTCGCCATCTCTTTTAAGAACACTAGCAAAAAGAGTAAACGCTATCCAGTCTAAATGAGCGCAGTTATCTTCTGGTGTGGTCTGTACAAGAACCGGCTACTCTGTAGCAGCGGTTTCTCCTTCTTTCAAATCCTCCGGGTGTCCAATGCTTTTCCTGCGCAGTCATCCAGCGGAAGGGTCACATCGTGCAGAACGTGGAGCAACGGAAACACTCCCCAACCCATACACTCGCCGCATGGCGTAGAACCAGCCCTTAACAAACCAGGGCTGACAATCACACCAACATCAGTAGTATCAGCATGCGGACGTACATGAGTTGCCTGGCAATTTCGGTATGCTCCTCCTCGTTAACAGCATTGTTCCCTTGCACTTTGTTGGGGGAGACCGTGACCTCGCCTCGCATGCTCACCTCCATGAGCTCTTTGAGACGCCGACCCGATATGCCTTTCCCTGCAAATCCAGCACAGCCTCATACGTAGAATCCGCATCTGTGTAATGTGCACAGCAGGGGAGAAGGTCCGGAGAGCCTAACCCCGTGATACTTGGGCTTTACAGCATCACGCCTGTGGCACAATTCATTGTGCATTCCGGAGTGCGGTAGTGACTGTCCGCCCAGGAGCCGGGAATGACAGGTGAGGGGAGAGAAGCACGAGACTGCAGTTTCCCGTAAACGAATTGTTTACGCACCCATTAGATAGTATAGCTTGGCGGTAATGGCCTCCAACGTCATGTCTCTCGCACATATAACCCCCAAGGAAGAAATCCAGACCCCGTTCTCATATATCAGCAAGTTCGTCGCCCCCTTTTGACACTGATTCGAGGCAACAACGGCAATTCCGGAATCGATGGCCCTCTGGATTGCATTCAAAAAGCGCTTACTGTTCGGGGCAGTCCCTGCCCCAAAAAGCTCCAGGATAACCGCAAACGGACGCCTCTGGAAGCTGAAGACACTCTCAAAGACCTCAATCGGCATAGAAGGCGACAGCTTCACCGTACAGACACTGCAGCATAGGTCCGTGAACACGCGGAACTCGCCAGCAGGGGGATACGCTCTCAGCCGGTCATGGATCACCACATCCACTCCAATGGTCCCGATGGCCGGAAAGTTTGGAGATGAAAATGCGTCAATACTTCCGCAATTGGTTTTCGATACGCGCGTGCCCCTTAACACTTGCGAGCCGAAGACAACCACCACTTCCGTAAGGCTAGAGTATCCCGCAACCATCAGACTCAAGCCAACATTCCTCTTCGCGTCGCTAGATATGTGCACTGAAGGGACACGCCAAAGAATGGAACACACTGGCAGATAGGCAGCCAGAATGAACGACGGGTATGTCTAGGGATACGCAAATAGAGACAGATGAGCGCCCGCCAACGGGTGCCTTGGAAAGCACAGACGTCTCTCTTGTGCAAAGCTAAGGACCTTCGACAGGGCTAAGTATGACGCTCGTGAGTGCAGGTCAGCTCACTCATAGGAAGCATCGAGCCAGTAAGAACAACACACTTCCCCAAATTCTCAAGCATGAAACTGAGGACAGCCGCCGTGTACGCCATGGTATCCGTGCCATGCAGGACTACAAAGCTAGACACCACAAATAGCAACGTAGACAAGGCAAGATTTAGCGCACTCTTAGCGAGGCCCCTGCTACGCCAGACACCCTTCTGAACAAAGGTACGAAAGGGAAGTAGAAGGCGCGTGATGGCGCTCTGACGTGCGTGCAGAAACCCGGCAAGGGGGGGGTACACGGGGTACATGCCGCATCTTGGCACGCACGGCACCACTGGTCGGGAAACAAATAACAGGTCTCAAGGGCTCACGTTCCAGTGAAAACATGCTATACACAGATAAGCGATGGTCTGTATGGGAATTTGTGAACGTTTTTCTCCTCGCTCCTACCCGTCATAAGCGTTGTAATACGTCTCGATTTGTTTGGCGAGCGTGCAGTATTGCTCCTTCCCCATGTCGCTGCTGTCCACAAGATCATCCCACTCTAAGATATCGAAATATGGCAACGATTCATCCGTGAGTTCGGGGCACCTTGTGAGGCGTCTCCCCAGTCTGGAAGGTCGCAGACACGTATTTTTATACGCGTAGTTCATGCAAATAGTGCCCCCTAAAATGATAATTAAAACGTGAGGTTTCGCATTCTCGGGATTCCCCATATCTATGTCTACGGCCCGCATGAGCGTTGCTTTGAGGGGAGTAACTACAGTTTCCTGGTAAGGCATATAGCGCCTGTCGCTGGTCCATTCCGTAGTTCCTGCGGCCTCTTCTGCCAGCAGCCCCTCTGGGTCCCCCTGGAGGAGCCCATGCATCTTTTGAGAGACGGGTTCTTTCAGTGCGTGATTAGTGCCGCCACTCGTTAGAGATGCAGTCAGGCCATAGTGAGTATCTCCAGCTCCTACGGCCGGACAAGAGGATACCCTGTGAATTGCCGAAAGAGCCGTTGTGACGGGCTGAGAATGACCCTCGTTGTGAGGCACCTCATGGTGGAAAGAAAGGTAGTTCATCTCCAGTCCGTCGGCAGCAGCAGACATGTGCAAGGGTGTGGCGCCCGCGGAAACGCATACTATGCTGCTATCTGACCCGTGAACCACATGACCCTGCTTAGTGCCCCCGGACCGAATGTCCAGAGAAGGCCCTCCAGAGATTTTGGAATCACTAAAATTATTTTGCGGCATCCTCAACGGAAAAAGGAGGCGCGCAGTGGGGCAGTGCCTCGAGGCAGCTGCAGGGCGCAGCTTTTGCGGAGGCTCCTTTGGTTCCTCAACGGGAGGGTAATAAAAGCAAATGAACAGGGAAAATAGCAGAAATGGAAGGGGAAGGAATAACACACCAAAGTATACGCCCTCTAGAATATACATCTGGCAGGGCGATAGAGAGGAGGGAGCCAGCGGCCGCCACTGCGCTGCTGCAGGTTTGTAAAAGCGGCAACAGGGAAAGGGGTGCTAAAATCTGGAGGTACACCAGGATATGGAGATCTATAGTTATGCATCATAAACTTTACTAAAATGCCTCCATGGCCACAAGAAAAATCCCGAAGGTCGCAGCACCCTTCGATTAATACACCTGAGTAGTCTTGTTCGCCACCTCTTGCGGCGCATGGGTCGTAGACCCGGAAATACCATGTAGGGATACACAACAAAGCAGTTGTTTGCTTTCAATCACATCCAAGAAAACTAGACATCACCAAGAACTTTGTGCATCCACAGAAGAACAGTACTCCTTCCTCCTGCTCTTGCTTCAGCAGTAGCCGGTTCGAACTCGGCGCGCATGAGTGCACAAAGCCCTATGACCAGTGATGCCCTCGGTCGTTTATATAAGAGCGCACATACCATTATTAAGTGTTTCACTGGCCTCGTTGAACTTCTGGCCCTTCATACTGAAGAAGACCATCGCACACACCGTGGATCAACAACCAGCCGCCACACCGCGCAGTCACCTCTCTCTGCATCCAAACTGCAGCAGAGGGTAACCAGGATTCGCCAAGGTCTAACTTTATTAGTAGTAGAGCCTTACATGCTTATTTTTGATACTTGTTATGGGATTTAAGGCAGTACGATATGTCAGGTGAGGGGAACGGAGGAGGCTCTGAGGCTTCATTGCTATCTAAGCTACCATTCGTCGCCTACCCTCGGCTGCTCTGGAGTGCAGATACCAGCTCTTGAAACCAAAGATACATGAAGCACAATTTTCAGCAGCAAACTTTAAAACGTGATAGTACCTACATCACATTACCCCTCATTTTACACCCCAAAACACACACAAGCAGCAGCTTGCTGGCGCAGTGCTATGTCTAGCAGATGCACACATCTAAACTTTTCCTCTCGTAACCGAAAGACAGAGCCAGCTGATATTACCAAGTGTATTGCAGACATAAATACTGATGCCAGAAGCGGAATTCGGAGCGACTTAGCTTTTTCAACGGGTTTCGTTGCAGGCAAAACTGCGCTAGAACGCATTCTACTACTACAGAACTCTGATTAAGAATTAATGACGATCGAAGTAGTTTGCTTGCACATTCGTATAAATTCTTTCATGTCCATTAGCACTACTTATTACGGTAAGAGTACTGTGTCTGAATGCACTGCCTGCTTTGTGCAACTGCCTGTAAATATTCGAACTGCCAATGAAGTACACCAACAAGTGGGCTAGCCGCCTCCTCCACCGTAATATCGGCATCCTGCATGGTGCGGACACGGATATGAGGGAGCACTTTTGAAAATCACTCAATTTTCTAGCATCGTCCAAATTACAATGTCTCTCCAAAAATCGTAGATCAAACTTGGTGGGCTCACCCGAGCATTTTCTACAGCATCAGTGATAGGTATTTCAATAATCAGTGCAGTTTGCCTACGAGTTCTTAGACAGCTGACGAGCTGGTTTGTCTGTTTGCACGTGTCATTTATTGCAGAGTACTCTTATCTGGATACAAAACGGCGCAATGTTCTGTGCGTACGTACTAGACGCACTGTGCAGCTAGCTGTGAAGGGTCATAGTGCGCAGAGGATGTACCTACGCGCACCTCACCGGGCCCTCTCTATATCTGGGATTCCGAAGGGCGCGGGCAAGAAAGTGAGGGAGACCTTCTTTAAAAACATTGAAGAGTGTTCTATCAAGTTTGTATAGAGTGGGGAGTGAAGTGGCACCCTACGGAGACCTTTGATGGAACAAACATTTGGTAGCACTGCATGGTCTGATGCAGCTATTCGCACCTTTTCCAGTGATCGGTTAGTGGTATGTGAGAGTCTCCTAAAAGAGTTGCCTGGGTTTGACCAAGTTATTTTGGTACTTGAAAACCGATTCTTGGGTAACAGTGTAAGGGAAAGGTCATCTGGCGATGGACGTTCGCGGTGGCGTAAAGCCTGTTCGGGTGGCAGAGCCCGGCCTGCAAGCCGGACTTAAACTCAGTTGTTTCATAGCTGGTAGAACGGCCGGACTTGTTAGTCAATGAAATGCTTATGGATGCTACGATGAAGTTAAGCTGAGCGAAAAAGCACGACGGCTAGAAGAATGGGCAAGTACACTTCAACTACCGGTAAAATATATAGGTCTCGCTTTGTAGCCCCAAGATTAGGAGAAACGAGTGCTGTTTGAGGGATATCTATTGTACGGTGAGGTATTTTGAATGTGGCTCTATCCATGTAGAGGAAGTCGTCCGGCTATTACAGCTCACACCTTGATACAAGCCGTGACTCATGGATTTCTCCCGATCGCCGAAACAGCACTCTTTGAGAAAATGGATCGAATTAAGCAGGGAAACTTATCAATAGATTGGGAACGGGTCGCAGGGTGAGCGGTCACTCAGCGAATCGGCAACCTACCGGTGGAGCGTCCATAACCGATGGAACTCCCAAAGTATCGAGAGCAAACGAGCGCAACTCCTGCGTCTTCCGCTTAGAATGAAGAACCCAACAAGAAACTTAAGCTCGTGACTATCGGGCCTATGTCGATCAGCTCTAGCCTACTGTTCAAGATGACCTAGGAAAAACTTCAGAGGGGTCCTGCACTCTTCAGCAGCCCCTAGCTCCCCCAACAACCCAGCTGGTTCTATTGTGGGAAATTCGATAATCTATTTTGGAACTACAAGTGCGCCAAAAAGCCAAAGAAGTTGAACAACGATAATGGGCCCCCCGGAAGCAGGCTGCTTGTCACTCAGAGAGACAGTATGAGGGAAACGGGGAGAGCCCCCTGCTCGCACAGCAATGAAAGGGGCTACAGCGGATAGAGCTGCAGCTGGAGACCCCCAATGGGCTGATGTTGCGGTAAGGTAAGCTTACACTAATGGTCAAGAGAAGCTAGAGCTGCTAGATAGTGGATGTGATGCTGATATGCTATCCAAGAAGATGGTGCACACACGCAATCTGCCTATTCACTCGTGAACACAGTCCAACAAAACTCAATTTGCTGATCGCTGCTTGAAGGCAAGGATTCGCAATGCTACGGTAGTTTGCTGCCACGGAATATATGAATTAAGTCGTATCAGCATGGTTTGTGACTTCTGTGCTCGACCAATTCATCAGGACGTAATTTCTAGGAATGACATGGGTGACCCAATGGAGGGCACACATGTGGCCGCAGCTGCGTGCTGTGAAAGATAGTGTCACAGGAGTCTGTAGGACAAAGCAGCCTCTGGTCTGCTCACAAGCACTCATTTAATCTGTATACTGCGAGGGGTGGATTTCGTGCCTCAATAAGGAGAGACCGAGTCTGGGTGCGGGCTACTCAGCAGCACAGTAGGAGTAAGCGCTGTTGCACATGCACCTCGTCTCAATGGCTATGCAACTAATTCTTTCTTAGGGAGTTCGACTGCTCCTTCGGCCATGGAACACCAGGAATGGGCAAACAGCAAGCGGGAGTTCGCAGATGCGCCAAATAGGGTCGTGTCAGCAGCCTAACCCACGAAAACACCACGCTGAACTGAATGTTTTCTATAGAGAAATGAATGACAGTCTACACAGACGACGTCTAGTATTGAGTCGAAGCGTTCGAAAGCACCTGCAGCGCCTACGGCATGAGCTTCAGCTGGGGTGGAACAAGCAGTGTGAGAAGGCAGGCAAGTGCTCCTGGTTCGGCAGAACAAGTGTTTTTCTGAGGTTTCGAATTCTAGCTGCATGAATTGAGCCAGATCTAGAAAGAGGCGAAGCAAATACGGGGAGGATTTTACCATTGAGCACTCGCAAGGTCGTTTAATGATCTGTGGGTATGCAACTTAATCCCGGAATTTCATTCCTGAATTTGCTAGGATCGCGGTTCTTTTTGCCATTCTACTTAAGAAACTGCCATCAGTGGCCAAGACAGAGGAGGCAGACGCTGCAGCAAGGACTGAATTCGCCCACCTTACCACAACTCTGGCACTCGCGCTGTCCGAAGATCAGCGCCACTTCTTCCTAACAACCAATGTTAGCGACGTGGCGACGGAATCTATTCTCTTTCGCCAGACTAGAAGTTTCCCAATACATTGACTTGCTACTGGAGCAGCGGCATCCGTTGCGGGAAGAGGGACTCGAGGTGGTGTGGTGGGGCGTGGAGATAAGGGCACTACTTTAAGGGAGTCATTTTAAGGTCCACACCGGAAGTCAGCCTTTTATGTACTTTGCTAAGGGTTTCACGACTGATCTGGTAGTGGTACTCTGGCTTGGGCGCCTGCTGCACCGCGACTTGACACTTTTTTCTTACAGGCAGCACCAATGCGGTCTCTGATGCGCTCTTGCAGTGCCGCAGCAGCTAACTCTTGTGCAGCACAGGAGCTCTTGTTCGTGACGCTCCTCAATTTCTATCGAAACTGCTTAAGTCATCTGCTTTTGAAAGCCATGCATCTGCTACTACTGCCAAAGCATAGAAAGGCAAATGGGTGGAACATTCCTGCATTAAGGGTGGCCTGCTGTTGCTCCAAAAAAAACGGAAACTACGTCGCTCATACATCCAAACTTTATTTCATGGTGCGTTTTTACGTAACACAAGTGATCATGCTCTTCCAAGACATGATGGGATCTACACTACAGGAGACTAGCTGTCACAGATATTTTACTGGCCTTTGGCGTAGGATACTTCGGATGGCAGAGAACCGTGCAACAACATGCACAAATTATCGGCAGATGAGCAAACCAATCATTTTAAATCCGGTCTTTTGCAAAGCCTTCTCCTGACAGGGTCCGAACTTCCCTGACTCTGTACTTTATTGTTGGACTGCTGGAGATCACAGGTCAGGATAGGATCTACGTCGCTGTCGACAGAATAAGGCAATACGCTCTTTAAAACCCTTTCTCGAGTTTTGCGACGCTTCAAAATGTAGCTCAACTGTTCTTGTCGCGAAGCTTCACTCATTCCCTTGGAGCATTATTGTGCATAAAGATTCACGGTTTGCTACTGAGTGATGGGCTCTTATTGTGTTGACTACACGTTTACCATAATGCCCATTGCGAGGTACCCTTAGGCAGAGGACAGAGAAGGCGCAGCTGCCGCACTCTTCTAACCTATGCTGCGACTCATAGATCACAAAAATCCAAATGCGTGCCTTGAGTTTCCTCCTTGCTATCAGTGCACAGCTACGTCAATTAATTCGTCTACTCGTTGCTTATTTGTTTTTACGTTCACTTCTGCGGAGACCCTCTCTGAGCTGGGCCTGAACCTGGTGGCCAAGGGTCTCCAGACACCTATAGCGGCGAAGGGCTTCAGAGAAAAGTTGGCCAGTGCACGCGAATATCTACGTAAACATCAAGGGAGACAAGCACGGAATTGTGGTGTTCGGCGGTTGCCTGCATGTTTTAAGCCTGAAGATTAGGCCCTGGCTGGTCTACAGGCTTTCCGACGTGCGCCAGAAGGTGACCAGAAGAAGAAATTTGAGGCAGTGTGGCTGGAAACTTTTGTGGCTTCCTTCATAATCAATGCTCTTCCTTTCTCTAGCGATTTCTCGTATAGCAGGAGGGCCACGGAACCATCAAATCTGAAAAATTTCAGAGATCCCCAAAATTTTTGAGGAATTTCCCGCGCAAACAAATGGCCCATTTCGGGGCAGACAATCCGTGAGAAGCCGTATAAGTGCTAAACTGTACTACTGTTGAGCCCTAAGGCTGCACTAGACGGGAGGACCTACCAAGATGGGGCGGGCAACGCCAACTTCAGTGGTTGACGGAGAAGGATATGAGTTTCCATGCCAGCAGGATATTTTGCGTCTCTGGTTGTTCATTGCGCTAGCAGCGATGAATGGCGTTCCTCGCGTCCCATGACCGGAGTCCTTCTCCAGCGCATACGTTACTTGAAATAGGTGGCTTAATCTTACAATACTGCGTGAAGCCTGCACATCTTTCGTATGGCTTTTTTCCTCACTCAGATTTATGCGCAAGCCCTTTCAGAGTGCTGTTCTTACCTCTCTCTCTTTTGGGGATTCGAGGTCGAATGCGATGCACGACGGGACTCTACTTGCAGGGAGGCATTGTTTTAGAGGGCACGCAGTCACTCTTGAACTATTGTACATTTTGATTCCCTTTCCTGTTTTACGTGGCTTCTGCGTAGCAGGACTCTCACGTTTTTAGCGGCTCGAGACAGCGAGCCATCGCGCTAGGGCGGCATAGTTTGTTTGGTCCCTCGTTCGGATCTAGGCAGTGTATGTGTCTCTACATCCCATTCCTCCTTACCGGTTGTTACATGTACAGGTTACTGCATAAGTTGGCCTTTCGCATACACGCTGTTCTTTGCGTTTCTGCCTGCATGGGGTGTAACGATAGGGCAAGAACACTTCGTCTGTCCCGATCAACTTTGGTCTAGACAGACAGGTGTGGAATGCGAGGGTGTGTGTCTCGAAGCTGGGATGGGGGGAGAGGTAACGGGCTAAGCTACATTTGAAAACTTTTGGCTGCACTGATGTCTTTAACAGCGGATTAGTGAAGGTTTGAATGATTGATATTCTTGCTCTCATGTATAATTTATTGCAGAGCATTGTGAGCTTGATACAAAATATGCAACGTGCGTGTGTGGTAGGTGCTACGTGCAACTAGCTGTGAATGCCCGGACTGCATAGAGCGCACAGTTACACGCCCTGCAGTTGACCCTCTTTCCTAGCACCTGAATATGGAGCAAGGGGAGCAAACTGACAAATTTTTTTGAGTAACAGCCAATAACACCTTTTAGAGTTTCTGTTTTCTGGAGTTGGGTGTCTTTCTATGGAGACCTCAGTAGAGCTCCCCGTCAGTGAATAAGATATTTGATACGAAATTAATTGGTCTTCAAGCAATGTTTGTACCTGCTCGGACTTTAAAAACACTTTTACCTTCTAATGATGCCGTATACTGCTCCTAGCTCCAGCTGTGTCATGATCATCCACTGCTTGGACAGTGTCATCTAGCCGTGACGTCCATAGCTCTGCTGTGGGCCCGGCACACCCGAAGGCTAAGCTGCCAAAACGCATGAAATTAGCAGAAGAATGTCTGAAAATTGACATATAGACGACTTGGTGCATATCAATCGCTTCTAAAGGCGACGAGGAACAGAGACACTATGACAAACAAACCGCGACACGCTGGTACTGGCAATGGGGTGCTTCTGTGCAGAGTTCTTTGCTTCTAGCTTTCTATACCCTTTCTAACTTCGACAAGTCTTGCAAAAACAGACACAGGCCTAGATTTGGGGATGATGAACCCAGATAAAGGCCCAAAGTGCTACGCTGTTGGGAGTGATATGGTGTTGAAGGGGAAGGGATATTTTCTTGGGGCAGGGAATTGGAGAACAGCACAAGAGTTTACAAGGAAACAAAGCCATGAAACGAGTATTTAAATACTGCTTTCTTGTAAATGTTCTCAGCAGAGTTAGGTAGAGCGAATAAAAGTACAGGAAGGCTGCTAGTGCTTCTGGAGTCTGTTCACCGTAGTCCACCGGGGGCCCGCATTCATGTTCCACTGGAAAAATCGAGCTAGGCCTAAATGTTTGAGCTGCCGGTTTTGTATCTTTCTGCCATTTGGGTACGGTTTTAGTGACAATTTCTCAAAAATAATCGGTATCTAAGGCTACATACTGATAGTTTCTGCTGGGGCGAGCAGTGTTTCAACCCGCAAAAAAGGTAATTCCTTCTTTCCAATTCAGTGTGCCGTACCATTGCTTTTGCCAGTAAACTCCGGTAATATCATATGCTTTATGAAGAACAGTATATTCACATGCTGTTTCGTCGCCTTTTCAGTCCTATGTTCCACTTGCTCCCAAGTAGCCGTGAGAATGCAATCCTCGTCTGTCGCGGTAGCCCAGTGCTGCAGCACTCTTGTGCGGTTCGTACCTCCTTCTCGATGGCCGCTCTCTGGTTTGTACTTATCCTTGCTCTTGTATCTCCTTTGACGAGTCCAAACCTCTTTATCCTCAGGTGGGGCTTTTCCTGTACGTGTGTGCGTGTGTGGGAGGGTACGGTCAGTTTCTCTGTCCGCGGCTATCTTCTGTCGCTGCATTGTTATCACGTGGTTTCTTCCATTTCGTACTCCACTTTTTACCGTGTTCTTTGGGTCTGCTGGCCCTCAGGTCGAGTCATACAAGCCAATTGACAGTGACCATGGAGTCGGTTAATCGGCTGAGCTCCTGCAAGTTCGAACCCCTTGAAGAGGTTCCTCTCCCAGAAAAAGCCCTTCTTTGGACGACGAATCATTACTATGACGGATCAGGTGGGAAAGCGAGATAGGGGATGGGAGGCAGAGGCTGTGTCTGTCAGCTTTTGACCCGCGCGACGTACGTTTAGGGTGTAGCATCTACAGGAAAAGGTCAAACAGAGGAAAGAGACCCAACCAGAGTGTTGCTTGTGACAGTAGAGGGTAGTTTCGGGATGATCGTAATACAGGGAATAATTTCTTGTTCGGTGGCGTTGCTACTGCGGACATACTTTAGGCTGGGTGGGGCTTGTTGACCGTGAAAAGCTGTCTCTGAAGCCCACTCTGTTCACCGACAACCGCCTGTTATTTCTCGAGCCTGTAGAAGGCGTCTGTGAAGCCTTTAAAGGCGTTCAGTCTGGCAAGTACGATGTTAAGGTGAGAGAGACTTGCAAAGGGAAGGAGAACATCCTTGGGAACTTGCTAGGCGAGCTGGATTATGCCACAGATTGATCTACATGCTGCGAAGACGTTCGGTCCTCCTAGGGGACTACATGTTCTTCATAGCCTTTATTACGACGTTGAGAAACTGGGTTTGCACAATCACGTTTGCCAGTCTATTTTTCCTTTCGCTGCACTGTCTCGGGGCGATGCGGGCGGGTTCTGCTAATGGAGGGGGGTGGGGCATGTGAAGCTATCCTGATAAGCTTCGATGAACCTTTGTGCTGTTGAGAGTGTTACCCGAATAAGCTTATGGGTTCATGGATTGCGAGAGCCGTAGGGTCGCTGGCCCTCGCAGCACACGTCTTGAACCTGAAGCCTCTCTCCATAAAATGCAGCAGGCACCTACATGGCCCTCCTGTGTGTCATTGCGTTGTCTCCCTCGGCCCTACATGCATGCCTTACCCCCTTTGGTGAATTGTTGTTGCCTTCGCATGGTCCTATTGGCTGTCATCGGTGAATGGCGTGCAATTTGGGGGCCTTCGCCAAGGGTCTTGCATTTCATGTGAATGTATGTGTGTGTGTGTGTGTGTGTATGCGGCTCTAATCAGTGCTGGAGCAAGCTGGACTGTCACCTGGGGATAGAGGGAGACACCAGCGTGTTCCTGCAGACACCGATTTTGAAGGAAGTTGCGGTGTATTCTCACCCCGAGCGGTTGCCGGCGTTCCCCAAGACGTGGAAGCCTCTTTTGTTTACGGTCAATAGTTCCATGATTACCTTTAGACTGACCGATCGGCTCTGTCTGGTGGTAACAATTGATGCCAGTCGGACTATACGGGTGCAGTGCGTGGACTACAATGGGGGTTTTGCCGTGTCACATCCTGCATCCGACATGGCGTTGGCTTACGGGGCCTTGGCAGTTAAAGGATTCGAGGCTCTACCAAACTGCGAAATCATTCCACACATCAATTGTGCCTCAGGAGAATGGGGTTTTTACGTACAGCTGTTCAAGTGGGGCACTTTTGTTATCCCCAAGTCCCTAGACCTCGCGAGGCCCACCTCCATCCTGGGCATGGGCTTGGGGAAAAAAGTCGACTGCTTAGGGGTTTTGCTGCATCCACCAAATCTTATCGTGATGGTTCATTTGGAAACACCAAAAGTGCAACGCGCGCTTGAATACGGGAAGGACTACATGCTGACGGCAATCAAGAGCAGCGAGACTGATATTGATATTCACCTCGTGATCGACGGCCAACTCATTGTGTTCAACTACTCCTTTGATATTCGCTTAAACAAAGTTGGAAAACCCAAACATACTGACAACGCAGCATTCAAAGCCTCCCTCGAACTAGATGATAAGAAAAAGTGTACCAGGTTCGCCTTCCAAAGCACAAAGAATACAAACGTCCTAGTCGCTCAGGGATGCCCATCTGGGCAGGGGGATCATCTCGTCAGCAAGGACCTCATCGCTGTTTTTGATGCAGAAATCAGTGAGTCGAACTTCACCATTTTACTGTCCATGGTGCTTTGCAACATTTAAAACACACTGGTCAGTGCCTCTAAGGCATTGAACCCCGCATAACATCAGAGGAATATACCTACTGCTAATTTGGAGGCTCCAGATCGCTCTGGTGCCGTCTTCAAAGTGTATTTTTCGTATTTTGTGAGTGGGGCTGTTTTTCCTGAGGTACAATGGGCTGGCTGCGTGTTTAGTTTATCATGAGCTAGCTGTCGCTTGTGTGCTGGGCGTTGCATCTTGTTTGTTTGCTCTAGGCATGTACTTAACACACCCACCTGCGTTAAAGCTGTGCAATGCCTTCTCAAAGGTTGCACTCCCCGTAGACTAATTATCTCAGAAAGGCCACCGAGCGCGAGGCCGGACATCCAAAACTAGCACAAGGAGTCGTAATTGACGGCCCAACTGCAAACAAAGTGTGGTCGAGGGAGAGCAGGACAGAGAGGAGTACTATAAGGATTGGCGGCTTTCATAAAGGAAAAACGGGGGCAAGGACCGAGGGATGGGAGGGGTCAACTGCGTACCTATGCACCAAACAAAGTAAAGCATACATCATGTTTTTCGGGTTCACGTGCTTGGCGTTTGGCACTTTCAGTGTTGTGGGGGTATGAAGGAGGCCTTCGAATGGACGTATTATGAAGTTGCTTACTTGGCGCGATCTCCCATGTACCTGTTTTAACTGGTTGCTTTCCGTCCTTCTTTTTCTCATGTTACAGTAGTTGCTTGTCACGCAAACCCGCTCTTGCCTTCCTATCACCTCATTATGCAGCAGCGCTGGGAGCTTTCCAGCGTTTGTAATGTCTCGCTGCCTTGTACCGATCGGCATCAACAGGTGAATCGCTCTGCTGCGCTGCCAGCACTGGTGTTCAGCTGGCTAATTCGCAATTATGGCCAAGGATGTTTGATGTGGGCAGGCGGCTAGATGACATCGGTGCGAGTGCGTCTTCTTGTATGAGCCCGTTTCAGTGCATGTATCCACCATCCTTCGCATCGTCCTGCTTCGCTGGTTTTGTGTATTTCCAATCCCGGCATCTCTGTGCATATGCTGCTTTTCTTTTGGTGCATCAGACCTCTTTGATTGCCTGATCCGACGCTTGGTGCCCTTCATCTTGTCTTCTTTCATCGCTGTAATATTCGCGCCCTCAGCTTCTGCCAGTTCTTCGCGCGGGGAGATGTATTGCGTATCGCGCCTAGTTTCTCACCAAAGATAAATCCGAACTCCAGGCTTCACTGCTTGGGCGTTTGGCAGACACTGATTGAGTTTGCAGGCTGTCGAAAGAGCAACACTTGTATAAGGAGCGAATGGTGGAACCAAACACACAGGAGGGGATTTGCGGGTAGAGAGCAGGGAAAGTAACAGGAAGTGAAAAAGGGAACTGTAGCGAGCCAGTGGAAGCCAGTAGAGGGGTGCAGTTGGCTATACCTACCAATGCCGCGATCGACCGCTTGATGCAATAGCAGAACATGTCTGCGGGCGATTCTCCGCCCTCTTCTTGCGTTCACCACTAAGGTTTCTGCCTTGGGGGGAGACGGAAGGTTAGGGTACGCGTTGCTGTCTCCTTCAATCACTCCATAGTCTCACAGCTAGATGAACGAAGCAGCTACGAAACACGTACAAATATTGATTATCAAATGGAACTAGCCATAATGATGATTGGCCATCGAAGAGCCAAGCCGAGCAGTCGGCTTTCTACTAATTCTAATCAGTAAAACTGGGGAAGTTAAAAGCCTCTAAAAGTGTGGCGTAGCCCGATAAGAACTGCGTTAACCTTTGAAACGTGTAGCGTGGTCTGTAGTATTTTTGATGGTGCCGTACACACATCCAGGCGCGGTATGAGTGCACAGCTGATGCATAATCCTTTCCTCGAAATAACGAGAGCAGCAAAGCAAAACAAACGGATGCCAACATTGCCCGCTGGTGCCCCCAACAAGCGGCGGCAGCGTGGCCATAAAATAAAATCCCGGGGGTTTTCCCCTCAGGCTTGTATTCGAAACCAAGCTTTTTTCGATGCTTCTTCCACGACAACCGCTGTCTCGTGTCAACGAGGAAATAGAAGAAATACGACACAATAAACGTCAGTATTCAGTCAAAAAAGAGTATGAATAGACCCCCTGATTCTGCCTCAGTGCAACCGAACTGGTCATGCCCACCAAATGTACAACATGGGGGCCCCTTCGAAAACGGTGCAACTGGGTTCCGTTGAGTGCGTGTATTTGAAAAAAACAAACGTCCCAAGTTCATCTAAGTGGAAACTCCAGTTGGCACGCCTATAAACAAGTGCAAAAACTAATAGAACCTCTTCGAATTAGTATTCACCGTTCATGGTGTTCTTCCTCTTGACTTGGTTCACGTTTATTGCTCCTGCTGAGCTCTCTACTAAGAGATACAGCAGAAAAGGACCCCTGTTTTCCTGATCGTTTCACTCTGCCCATGCCTCTGGCCTCCTTGTACTTCACTTTCCCTCCCATCCGATTCGGCCTCATCACTTCTCTTCCTTTGAGAGCCTCGGCCTCTTTACATCTCCTCCGAGTGCCTCGGCTCCTTTCTATCTCCTTCAAAGCGCCCACTTCCCAGCCTGTCACCAAACCACCTCATTAGCACCGCCTTGGTTTGCACCTGCAGCAGCTGCAGCCCTTACGGCTGCCCCCGTGTGTTTTGCCGTTTGGGGGGCTGGGTCCTGTCCAACAAGGCGCGACAGAAGCAGCATATCCTCTACCAGCTCAAGCTGCAGAGGCTTTTCCAGTTCACTGGGAGCCGATAGCGCCTTCACACACTTCCCAAAACGGTCGATGAGGATCTGCAGGGAAGAGAGCGGCAGGGAAGAGGAAGCCGCAAAAGATAAACACCGCAAGATAGCCCTTTCTCGTTCCAACAACGCCGCGGCCGAGTACGAAAGAGATGGCAAGCACCCCAAGAGGTTTGCCAGAAGCAATTGCAGGCAACGCCGATAGTACGGCAGCAGAACTGACTCCACCGCCTCTCCCCCAACGTCGTGAAGACAAGCGGCTGACAAGTTGCCTTCAAGCGAAGAAGTCGTTGCACCCTGTCCTTCGAATGCTGCAATTTCCAATGGACACACGGCAGACTCGCCTTCCGCTTCCTGAGAATGCAAATTACGCGGCGTTCGGTGCTGTCGAGCGAGGGTTGAAGCCCACAAAAGGACAGCCTCCTCCTTATCAGCGGCTCCTTCTCCTACACGAGCCGTTCCAGCTCCCCGATTCCCACCCTGGGGAAGCCGCTCCATCAAGTGATAAAAAGATTCCTCTTCCTGCTGCTTGCCAGCGTGTACAACACTACTCTCATCAGCTGAGGAGGGGCCCCAGGTAGGCGGAGACGGACTCCTCTTTTGCGGCTTGACACCCCAAAGATACTTCCCTCGGTGCCCGGAGATCTGTTCATCTGCGCCTCCTGAGAACAGACAAGTAAATTCACATGCAAACGCACACAGGCATGCATGTGCAGCGAAGGAAGGGCACCCTCAACTAATAGGGGACAGCTTGCCATACAAATACACCGTAAAACGAGTGAACCAATCGCACAACCCTATACTTCTCGCTGAAGGACAGCACTTACCACGCTGTTGCTTCCGGCTCGTGATGGCTGCCCTGTTTCTTCTTGGTCGACTCAGATGGTCATCGGTGGGGGCCTCGTAGCAAGCGTCTGCCTTCTGCCGTTTTTCTCTTACGGGCCCCTGGCGATCCCTCGCATGCTGCACTTGGGTTTGGGTGGGGCCCTGTGGAGCTGTTAAAAGGTCTTCTGGTCGCGGGTACTTACGGGGCCTCCCTCTCTTTTTCACGGGAGCAGCAGATGGGCCCCCTGCTGGAGGCCATTGCAGCTGGTGGAGCTGCTCTTTCACCCCAGCCGCAAGTGCAGCAGGTACAGAAGGGGTGGATGCAGCTGCTGTTCCTGATTTCTTAGGAAGAAAGCCATCGTTGTTGAAAGCTGACCCAAGGACTTTGGAAGTCTTCGAGCTCACCGAAACGGGGACCCTGGCGCCGTCAACAGCGTGTTTCTCTGCCACCTCCATCTCAGTTGCACAGGAGGCTGAAGCTATAGGCACGCTCTGCTTCCTGCTACGCTTCTGGTATTCAAACTGTGTAGAAGGGAGGAGATTCTTGATCATCAAAAAAATGCAAGAGGCGAGAGTGGATGTCGTGAGAGTGTGAGGGGAACTGTGATAGACCAACGCCTCAGCATCTGCCCTAGCGTTTAGGCTCTTAGGAAATACAGTACTAAGCAAGAATCATCTGAATAACCGGTCTCTGAACCCCCTACATCAATGCGTAAATCGACAGTGCCCAGCAACTAACACAAAACGGGATTTCCAATGCTTCCCTCCAACGTGAGGTACTTAGACAAAACTACAGAAGCACTCGCCCAGGCACAAAGCTTTGCGGTTTCACAAACTGCGAAATATAATTCGTCGCCTTTGCTTTTTAAGGTACTGAATATGCACAAAAAATCAATTCAGGCAGGGCTCCTTTACTGGACCATGCAGTTTGTGACAGCCTACTACAGTTCGTAGCTGCTGGCTCTGCTGCCCTGAGCGCGATCTCGATGGAAAATACCCAGAACAAGGGTTTTCAAGAGGAAATTACGACAAGGCACAAGAAGTACTGGAATAAGGTGGAGCAATGAGCCAGTGTTTCGCGAACCGAGAAACTTGACGAAGACGAAGGCAGCGTAGTACACGCAGAGAGGCAGTGCGGGGCCAGGGCTGAGGCTCGAGCATAGCGTCCAGAAAAACCGACATAAAAGTGAGCAATAGGCGTTCCTCAGGCAGGACTGGAAATCTTATAAGGAATGCAATGAAGAGAGCTCCGTTTCTATGGTTTAAATCAACGTAGCACGAAGTCCTCAAGCTGCTTACCTAAAGTGGAATTCCGTGTGCTTACCGCTGCTTTAACACCCAAACCTCAGATTTTATCGATAAGCTCATACTAGATCAAAAGTACGGGTAAAACCATAGAAAATCCCCCCTGTAGAGCCTTCTACAAGCGGCTTCTGCCTACATCGGTTGGACCCATGGCCACTCCCACAACTGTCGCAAATCGCAGCTAAAGACACGAAAGGGCCGTTATTTTGCGCGGATTCCCTTAGAAAACAGCCTTTCAACATTTGTGAAGTTCAATTGAGTGAGAGCTTTTGCTGTTTTACAACAACAATAGGCCCGTAGACACCAGTGTTTCCCAGCCGCATAGGCAGACGGAGGCACTCAGAACAGTGGCAACACTCTTTCCACTCAGAGGGCATGAACCACTGGCCGAAAGGGCCAACATGCAAGTTTGAAACCAAGACAGCGGCTTTCGCATTGTGTGAGGCCCGTTATCAGCCCTCTCCTTACAAACTCGTCACCCACCCCCCGCAGTAATTGATGGGTCGACAGACTTTGCTGAGGGAATCCTCCAGAGAGCCGAGGGAAGATAATGTGATGGAGGTGCAAATTACTATCCCACCAGCCTTGAAATCTCACCCAAGTCAATTTAGGTGGCATCCAGACACATCGAGTTGTGCAGCCGGTCGTTGCAACTTGTGCCGCCGCCCTTACGCATTCTTCTCTACTTGCCAACCTCTACCGTAACCCCATGGCAGTCGCCAGTTTTGTGTTTACACACCGCACACTCCCATAGTAAAAACGGGGTATCTCGCCACATCGACAGGTGACCACTGTTTAAGTTGTACTTGTACAACTCTATTTTCGACACTTAATCCCCCAGCAAGCTTGATTTCCAGAAACAAGAGATACAGAAACGGGTAGTCTGAGCTGCCACCGGAAATGCCAGCAGCCAAAGGCAACGGGTAGAACCGCTATAGCAACAGGGAAAAGGTAATGACTCCTGAGAGCAGCACACTCGACTCTTTTTTCCCCTGCTCCTATGCTTGGTCCTCATTGTTAAGTGACTGCCTGTGTCTTGCTATTGTTCTGTTTGAGTCCCCGCTTTACTATGCCTCAGTGGCTGCCTGCGCTCAGAGAAGAGAGCGCCACTGCTACCTTGCGCTTCTGCTCCCGGGCTTCCCACATGCATCCATTCTACAGGGGCTACGCAGCAACTAAACAAAAAGGAGAAACGAGCGTACGCACAGTGAATTGTCCCCCTAGCGGGTTAAGGTCCCCTAGAGGCCTATGGGCCTTTGCGTCAGTATGGGGGAGAACGTGCGCTGAAATCGTACCATGGCAAGTATACGCATGACACAGCAACCAGAAGGGCTAACACTCACGAACTGAGGGGGCTCTCACAACGCTAACGCTGCATGGGGGCCCAAGGGTTCTTCCAGTCCACAATGGTCCCCTATAACCTTTTTTCCCTTACCATGCAGCCAGCAGAAATAGGGGTGGGAATGCAAGAGGAGATGCTCGGTTGCCATGTGGCATAAATACAGATTACTTTCAGGCACTGACAGGTCTGTGCGCCTTTACATAGAAAATCCATGTATACAATCGAGTACACAGCGGTAGGGGCAAACCTCAGGTGAGTGCGTGACAGAGAAGGAAAATCGGACCAAAGAAATGACAGAATAAACTAATTCCGTTTTTCATATCTTCGGACGAAAGCATATCCAGCTCCAAGGCCATCCCGCTCAGCTGCAGTAGCAGAACTCGGCCGACCTGTCCCGTCTCTTGCCTCTGATAGTGATAGGGGACAGATCCGTTCTTGTTGAACCCAAGTTACTGCAGCCACGTTAGCTAGCACCTCTTGAATGCTTTGAAAATTCCTGCGCTTCCGCTAGCTGGCCCCCCTGTGTTGTGCGTAGCAGCTTCGCAAAGCCAAATCGCCTTAGATGTCCTCATCGAATTCTGTTGAATAATACCTGAGTTTCTGCTCGGACTGCCTGAGGATCTCGTTGCTAAAGCCGGCAAGGCCTCCAATCAGGGCACCCAGAGGATAGCAGAACTGTTGCTCCCTAAGAAGAGCAAGCTTGATCTGGTACTGCATTTCGTCCTCTACATCCATCATGCCGAATATGCAGCCAAAGACGCCACCCATAATGAGAGTAAAGAATAGCACCATGTAAGCTTGTTCTCGGGACTCAACTAGAGGCTTAGACACAGACGACTGGAAGAAGGAAAAGAGGTAATTTACGACATCTACCAGAGAAAACGTCAAGGCGAAGGCCACCGACACGCCCAATATAGTGTACAGCGGCACCTTGGCTATTGCGTGGAGCCCAACGAACCAGTTTCTCTTCAGAACAAAGCACAGAACCCCAGAAAAGACGATAAGACCCGCAAAGAACGTCAGCTGCAGTTTACGCCCCTGAGATGCCCCATCTGCGTTCACGTTTATTCTCCAAAGAATAACAGCGCCAACAGTGATAAACACAATGCCGAGGTACAGGGAAAAGAATGAAGAGACTGATATCTCCACGAGGGTGCAGTTCACTATGAGGGAAGAAATAATTCCCAGCAACACTCCAACAATCGCGCTGATGGTGCCCTTGCAGATCATGTCTTTGGTCATCTCCACGCGGGTCCAGGGAAACAGAATGCCAGTCAAGCCCCCGGCTCCCCCCATGTCAAGTCTAGGGGCCGAGTCTGAGCCACCAGCAACACCGCCGTATGAACCCCGTGAAGGGGGGCAACCTGCTGCTTTGTCCGACCCGAAACCCTTCATCCTTTCACTGCCTTGGGAATGAGGGGCCTATACTTTTGTGTACACAATACCACGAAAAACGGGAAAGACTGTAGCTTGTCAGAACCGAGAGAAACTCGAAAAACTCCGGCTCACGATGCTTGAAACCGGGGCCCCAGTCGGCCGGTCATGCAAGAAAGAAGCCAAAGTTAACAATCAACTGGCGTAGTCTAAACTCACTTAATTTCACTTACTTATTAAACAAATAGAGAGAGAGTACAGGGAAATCCGCTGCATTGGACGTCCGCTGCAGCCTCAGTTCGCAGGACGGAGCCCTACCGCTGGTGGCAGGCAAAGCTTTTGCGGAATGGTTGAGAGCATGCCCTGTTCAGCTCCCGGAAGGACATTGCTAAAACTGCATATAATATCAGTAGGCCATTTAAGTTCTTTATCTGCACAGCCTTTGCGCAATGTACCATTTGTCCCTACCATCACCTGGTTGAACGGCCGTTTGATTCATCATGCAGAGTCGCAGAAAAAACAGCTAAATGCGTATACTCCAGCTTGCTTCCCTGTGTTTTACTTTTCTCGGAAAAGGAAGGTTAATACCTGTAGTGTTCGTCTTTTTAGCGCATCTCTAGAGGGTTTTACCAAGCTGTTTCCCTTGATGCTCCCGCATATACGCAGCTGCTTTGCCCTCTTTGTGTAGTGGTTGTCCTGACCTCTTCAGACATACACACAGTGGGAGAAACGCTTACGCAGCATGTTAATCTAATTGGTATGACGCACTAGCTGGACATCCGGTAGACAATAACGTCACTGAATATGGAATATAACCCGAAGCGGGCAAGAATGGTACGAAACACTTCCTTGCTCTGGACTTCAGGAAAAAGGTATAACATGCCGACTTACCTAACAGCTGATATCTATTTTTCACTGCTTTCGCGCCACGCGCTTTTTGCATTGGCGTTTCTTTTCTCTGCATATATTGTTTCAAGTCAATCCTAAACGGTGCTGTAGCGCTCCATCAGACCATGTAGCGAGACGCTCAAAGGCAGATTCGATACGAACTTTGCAGAATGTAATCGGATGATCTTAGGTTGAGCATTCTTATTTTCCTAGCCGCGTCGCTCTGGGTGCTCGATATGGAGGGAGAAGGACAGCGACGGTGCGCGCAGCTGGAGCCTCTTGGGAGTTGCTGCCTTCACATCTAGTTGAACATAGAATCTATCACATGCACAAAATGTTGCGTCTTCTGGTGTCAAACACATAAATCTCTTTTACGATAATATATACAGGCAGACTGACCAATTATTGGATTCTCGATATTTCTATGTTAAAAATAGCTCGTATAGTAGAACGTGCCTAAATACGGGTCAGTCTGATATAGCAGCACCACTCTGTGGTAACACGTTCGAATATTTCAGCAAATATTATAAAGGGATGCATTTAGATCTCAGGGGTGCGTTTGCTTTGATTTCCCAGTGGCATAGACTACCGCCCCATCCTATTCTTATAGATTTGCAGGATCCGTACAACCTGCTCGGATAGGGGTAATACCTGATCTGAACAAAAGTCTCTAACATAACAGGAACGACTCGTCTTTCTCGGTATTCGGTGTTTATAATTAGGAACTACACGGCGTAGTCGGACTAGCAGCGAGGGATGGCTGTTTGTGATTTTTTGTGCCCCGCTTCCTTCTATTTGTTGCTGCTGAGCGTTCGGTGGACTGGAGCTTTCGTCTGAAACAGATTGAACATGAAAACATGTCAAAATGAAACTTGTGGCTCTCAAACGTGTCAGGTGGGCTGTAGGCGGGCTAGGTCACTACTTACAAGATCAAATCAAGGATTTTGTCCTCGATTATTTCTCTGGCTGCTTTTGTTCTCGCACGCTTCATCGTTCGGCAGCATGTTAAGCTCAGTCCTCGTGGCATTTGAGCTGATCATATAGCATGCATGCGGTCACCTAGTATACTCAATAACTGCCAGTTGTACCAGGAGATGAACCCGCAGGAAGCGTGGGATTGGGCAATTTCAGAAGGCCCAAAGCAGTAGTCTTAAAGCAGTCGTTCTCCGACGTGCAGATTATATTCGCAAGTGAAGAGGCAATACTCGGCGCGAATCTTTCAGTAGCCTTTTTCATCTGAACGAAGCCGTTCGACGTTCAAGCGGGGAGGCAGCGAAGGTGTTTAGAGCTACATTGGCTCCTTGCATCAAGGGTTGGCTTACGGCCAGTTCTTCCAGTGTCTGAAAGCCACGGGGATATGCCGATTTTAACTGGTTGAACAAACGTTGGAAAGCCCCTATTATTTCAATGCGCAGATTATTGGATCCCTGAAGGGCAAAGATGTAGAAATGCAGCTCTTGCTAAGCGGGATCCACGCTTTTACTTTCTGTTTTTCTTACGTGCAGAAAGCTTTTTGACAGAGAGCTGTAAAGGGCTTTCCCACTGGAGAGGTTTGCAGCCTGAATGTGGTCAACTATATTCTCGCCCCTTTCTGTACATAACATTGGCGAATTGCCTCACCACAAGTATTACAGTCCACTTGCAATCCTCTAGAGTTTGAAGACGAATTTTATATGCCATCTAAAACATAAAAGAATTTATATATATGGCTCTTGCTCCTTCCCGAAACAAAATATAGGTCACTGAACCCCTACGTTCGTCATGGAGTCCCATAAACTTGTAAAGCTTGTGGTCGGCGCTCCACAGGAGTGAAGAGGTTCATACGAGGACACTTCCATTCCAAAGAATTGCCCATGTTGTTTGAGAAACGCGCTAGATTGCATCCGCAGTAGAAAGTTGCCACACATGTACAAAGTTAGGCTTGAAAAAAACAAAGGCACAGTACCTCAGACATTTCGTAAGAAGGCAAGAGGAAGCAGCCGACGGCAAGAGCGGTGTTCCATTGAAACTCCGTACAAGATGGATTTCTGAACCCTCATCATCCCCCGTAGCGTTTGCTGAAAGAACTGCAGCTGTGAGTTCAAGTTTCGCCCCGTCACAAGATGCGGATGCAGTCGCAACGGCTAAGGGCTCTTGGCCCTCTGCGATGGACAAAAATGTCCCGTCGGGCCCGCGAGGATTTCTGAATGTGTTGTTTCCACGAAAGACCAGCTTGGTTTTGATTGTCAACTTAAGTGACATCTTCTTCAATTAGAGCTCATGGACCATTGCGTTAAAAGCTTGCCTCTGGACTCCATATGGAATGAATAGCAGCGTACGCCTCGATCTCCTTCTCCTTTTCCATGTCCCATATTGGGGAGAGCTACGCATCCCGCAGAGCATTCGCGTGAGGTAGATGGGGAAAGTATAGTACACACATTACCTCGACAGAAAATTCGGTCATCCACGGCCACATGGATGCCGGCAAGGCCTCAACTGTGGAATACACATGTAATTACCATGTACCGATTCCAAATTCATGCAACAGCAAAGCAGACCTGCAAAATTCTGAATTAATGGAGCTACAGAGGCTGCGTCAAGGCTAATGCCAAACGACCAAACTTCACATTCGCGCATGCTGAAGAGTACACGGACTCGTATCTACTAGTTCCCTGTGCTTTTATTTATCATGAGTCTACCGAATTTTAACATTAACCGGTTGTTTCAGATCTCTTTGTGAACTTAGCATTATCTAAAAACACTGTTTTACTAACTAATAGTGATGCTAAGATGGCAAAATGTTTCCTACCGCTTTCAGGCCGATTCCGAATTCCCCTCCAGTTTGAGGGTCCTGCGCTTTTGAAGAGCAAAATACCTCTCCCAGTGCAGAAACAGTAGCACAATCAATCCCTTTTCCCTGATTAAGCGTCAGTGCTTGACTATGTGAATAATAATCTCTGTTTTGTTTCTTACTGTATCTCTGCAGGTTACAAGAAGGCTTGTGGTGCGTATTGAGACTTCAAGTTCAACATTCTCGCAATCAAGAGGGGGGAGTAGCGGGGAAACGCTTTTTGCACAAGCATCCACCGCATTGTCAAGGAATTCCTTGCAAACCATGAATGGCCCATTATCTCTACTAAACCCGCTGATTTCCAGGTCTGACAAAGCATCATTAGGACCCAAACAATGCATCGTAATCACTGCAATGCAATTCTCACATTGAACAAGAAATTCCCCAGCTGTTCGACTCATTATTCTTGCCCTTTTAGTTAGCGTGGAGTTCTTTTTTCTAGCTTTTTCATGAAATGATTAGTAGTACAAGGCTTTCTGGTAGAGCGGACCTTCGTCTGTCAGCTATCAGTACTCCGGATTCACCCCTAATTTCAAAATAAGTGCATATTCAAAAGAAAACTAGTCTTTCCTGTGATACACCTGGCCTCTATAAGCTCACAAAGCCCTAATTACATCTTTAAAAAGTTGAACTGGCTGAGGGTGCAGCTCTTTGGAGCTGTGGATACACTGTAGCAATCAAATTCACGACCTTGGGATATTGTTGTATTCTTCTTACCTAATAAGATACAAGTGAGCAGGAATTGCAGCAAATAGATTTCGTGAGTGTGCACTTTTACGTTAGCACTGACCCACTGAAGGTATCTAGACCAGTCGCTCCTGTTCCCACTACCTAGCCTAGGAAGGTGCACGCTGCTTCATTTCATTGCTCCCCTTGAGCAGTGGGTACAATATTCAGCATGCTAATGTTGGAAGCTTAAAAAGGAACAAACACGATGAACCGATATCCTCTAACAGCTCCAACACTAGCAAGATAGACCTTTTTGTTCATCTAGCACGGAAGTGGTTCCTCATCTGATGCAGATGTCGCACCAGCCACTTTTTCCCGCAGCTAAAAACCCTGCAGTGGAGCGCGCATGCTCCAGCCTCTCTTGCGGTGCATTCCAAAGAGCCGTAAATGTACTGAAAGGGGCTATGTATTGAAAAAGTAACCGCAACAATTACTTTCTAGACGCCCACATCTCATGAGCGATCACAAAAAAGCCACGGCGTTTCTCCCATCCCTGGGAGATCCGCTACCCTGGCTGTAACGTCAACTGGGTCTCCTTCGTGCATAGGGCCTTCATCTACGCAGCCAATCGTGATGGGTACGGGGCCATATGATGAATTTACCGTCCGAGTTAGCTCCAGGCCATCCGACGGCAAACGTGATGCTGAAACACCACACCACTCAATCGCAAGTCAGGAATGTGGCAGCAACATGCATCCGCGGCATTGCGTAAGCATGAATGTAGACAACATAGGCAAAACCAATGGGAAGGGCGGACGTCTACGAGCGCAGGGATACCGACGTATGAGACCCGGGAGTTTGCATCAGTTAGTGTAGGATAGACTTGACTTGCCAGCCCTAGAGAAAGTCTTCATCCTGCTGGTAGACAGTATCCCCTGGAAAACGTGTGCAACTGCTGGCCCTCGTCTGAAAAGCTTGCACACCAGGACTACAATAACTGCGAGGACAATAAGCAGGACGACAATGGAGACGCTTCCAGCCCTGAAACCCTGGTTTTGCACGTCGGGGGGGATTTCTGAAAAGCGGTATGCAAACGGCTGCGCCACTCCAGCTGTTCCAGGGATTACGTATTTGGCCACTAATCCGATCCTGCGACACATATACCGCCCCATAAGTCCCCTCCGCAATCAGAAACCGTCTCCCTCCGCCCTTCATCGCCGTACCTGAAAACTCTGTGCACAAGAGGGCTGCGGGCCCCTATTTTCCATCATCACGTGGAAAAGGGTGCCTGTTTTTCAGCCTCCTGATGTGGAGTGCTCACAGTTGAATGCTGAACAACCGGTGCACACAGAGCAAAGGCCCACTGACCTGTAACCAGAACCGCTCTCAAAGTCGAGGTCCAAAGAGTAGGCAAGAACGCCTTCTGGAATGCTGATCTTCTCGGCCGCTCCCAAGAGAAAAGTGTCTTGATACATCCCACAGCTTGACAGCCAATTGCCTTGAACCTTGTCTGTCTTCGCCACAAAGAGCTCGTATTCTACCGAGTCAGGAGGCACCGCCGATCCCCGCACCGCGACGTCGTGCGATGCGCACCCCCAGTCCCCTGAGTCGCTGCAGCCGCAGGAAAGAGAGACAGCAGCAGTGCGCAAGGCTTATGACCCCTGTCTCAAATCCTCTTTCGCACCACCTATTGGCAGTCTACGCACTCCTCGTTTTCCTCTCCGACAACAGTCGGATCAAACACATTTCGAGATCGGCTGCCTCACGGATGCATACAACAGAATCTCCAGGCCTTCGTGGCACTAGAATGCCGCACCTGCTGCTTTCAATAACCGTCTCCACCGCAGGTACCGCCATAAGAGGACTCCACCAGATATCAGCAGTGAGTCGTTTGGATTCTTCTCCCCACAGGCGAGGCAGCCAAGTGGCAGTGCGCAACCTCCAGTTCACATCAATGTTTTCCGCTCCCAGGCATATGACAGAGTCAAGAGGGTCAATGCGGATGGAAAAGCTGGAGCTCTTCCCCCCAGTAAACCCTTCGGAACGGTAGTGACTCGCCGCCCTCACGGAGGCACCCACATAGTTCAAACTCGAGCTCGGGACGACCTATGCGCAACACACCAGGGAAGAGACCTAGAAGGTGGCGTATAATGAAGCCCAAGGTAGCTTCACGGAGGGGCGGTTTGGGCTCAGTAACGGTGGATACCTTAAATCGGAACTGCAAGCATAGCTGTCCTGTCTGGCACTCAGCCAATCCGTCACGTCAGCAAACAAGACTACTTCGGGGAGATGGTCCAAAAGGCAGCCACCGATATTTGCACACCGCGAATCCTTGCTCACTACCTGCACCTAGGCGGCATCAACAAGGGACCCTGATCTTACCAAGCTAATAAGGCCCTGCTTGGCCAGAATCTCCTGCGTTTGAGACCTTTCAATGCTCTTGAGAGTACCTAGAAACCAAGGATTTTTCTCCGCCTGGATGCGCACCTGCACTTTATTGGTACCCCAGCCAAAACCGACTCCGCCGCTGCATGCCTGAGGAAGCCGCCGATCAACACAGGAACAAGCTAATACACTCTTGTGAAGCTAACTAGTGTTCTGACTATCATAAAAAAGCCACAAAACTACTGGCAAAAATAGAGGACCTTCGCCCTGGTGGGCTTGGACCGGCACAAGGCAACGGACACAGAAACATAACGGGGCCAAAGGGAGTATACTGATGGTTCCGTCAAAGTTCTCAGAGACACGCACATATACATAGACATTAAGTCCATTATAATACAAGGACTCGTATCATGAAGAAATGTCCATATACACTTTGAGAGGGATGGGTTGAGCCGCAGCCCGGCCTAGCGGAGCAGGAGCTTCGCGCGCTTTCTGGCTGCCTATCATCGTCTCTTTCCCTCTGCTCAGACTCCTGCCATCTGCACCACCTTGTGTTCTCCTATCTAGCTGTACTAGTCTTTCTGAATCCATGCGTATGCCCCTTAACCCTGGTCTCACCTGCACTGACAGTAGGAGCCTCTCAGACTTGTTAGCTGGCTTCCACACTCGAATGGCAAAGTAGTCAGCGATAAACATGAAGGCCGATGATCCAGCCCTCCGGAGCTTCATCTGGGGCTTGCGCGAGATGTAGCCTAGCATGGGGAGGCCCAAAGGGAGTACGCGGGCTGTTGACTGGTGCTGCAGAGAGGCCCTCATCCTAAAGAAGACAGGGGAGGGGGAGGTGGAATAGACCCCTATCCTGTATTGGCAAACCGGGCTGTTGTACTGGTGCATATTGTTTTCCACGACTGCGACAAGTTGGTTATATTCGTTAAGGTATGCTGTGTCGGTGTAAAGGCTGGCTGAGGGTCTTAAATTAGAACTCCACATGCTCCTGCCAAACGTCTCGTTGTTGCACGACTGCACGAATACGCTGAGGGACTGCAGCATATCTTGAGCCGCTTTCTTAAAGCGCCCATGTTGCTCGTACGACACGCTTCGTATATCGACATCCAGGCTCACGATCAAATAGCCACCCGCAACCCTGCAGCACCCTCACTTACACGGACGGCGTTCGATAGGGTCCAAGGGGCAGGCGACTACAGCAACGGGAAGCAATGGATCTGGAAACGATGCATATCTAGAAACTCCGAGAGAGCAACTGAAACGGGCAGAGAGACGATGGCACAGGCACACGCCTAGACCTCCAGACAAAATCAGCAGAGTTTCAGATGCACAGCGGTATGCACACTCGCCAGCTCAATAAAAGCTGAAGCTTGCGCAGCAGCACATGAAGTGGTCAAACGGACACCCTGCTACATATATATTGGTCTACAAGGACGCAAGAAATGCGATATGAACACCCCACGGAAAGATGGCATAAGGCAGCCGAAGCCCCCAACCTACCCCCTGCCCAACCCCCGCTTAGTCCTGTCGCGACTGGCGCGGCTGAAGCGCAGGCAGCAACAACCCACGTGGTTTCAAAGGAGAAAAACTTTGGAGCTTTGGCCTCTACGGAATAAACCGCTTCATCGTGATTATCGCGCAGAGGAATAAAGTTGCCTTGCTGCCTGGCAACGAACTGCAGCAGCGGCTCGTGGCCCTGTCGGAAAAGGCACCCACAGCGCACATTCATCATGCAATGGCGGGTACAGGAGGCCGTCACGCTCCAGTAAAACACTCGAGTCACAGATGTAGCGATTTATATCATTATCCTGGAGGAAGAGGCACGTTGTTGGGCAATACCAGAGAAACACAAGCCATGAGTCGGATACGGGACAGGACGAGAAAGCTGTGGATTCGCAAGTGAGATTCAATATGCCCTGGCTAGAACAAGAGCATACACCCTTCTCACCGGGCTTATCTTGGTCTCCACACGTATGACAACATAGAGAAGCCTTCTAAGATGCACGGCCCTGCGTTCTGCCAAGATGTCGATATCCGTAATCCCCTGGTCCCCTAACAAATAGCTCTTCCCTTTCCAGCACATCTCAGACCGGTCAGGCAGCACACAGCGCTTTTCCGAGTAGGGGCCTGCATGCATGGCAGCACGCAAGTGCCGAAGCGCACGTGCAAGAAATGCACAGCCGTGTGCTCGCCAGCAAAGCAAACCAGCGGCGTCAAGTTAAGCAGCCACGAAAGAAAAAGTAGTCTTCCCGTATCTTCAAGGAACAAGTGCACGCACGCACGTGCACGTAGCGCATAAATATCTCACAGCACCCCAGAGGTGGGCAGGGTAGCACCGGCAGGGATAGCATTAGCAGCAATAAAAGTGTGTGAAAGTCCCACTGGGGTCACTTAGAAGGCTTTCGCTGTAGTCCAACCAAGCGCTCATCTCCTTGATGAGCTTTGCATCGCTGGATGTGAGCCTGAGAGAGACATCTGCGGAGACGTTGTCGAGAGACAGCAGCAATACTTTAACTCCATTAGTCTGTAGAAACATTTGCAACACCAAATCCAGGGGTTCCTCAAAGGCGCATTGGATAAAATAATCCTTCAACCGCGAAGTCGCAACTAATGTAAAGTCCACGTCTCGAGGCATGTCTTGCTCTGCGCGCAAATGAGACAAACCGGAGCCGCTCGCATACACGCCTCACAAAACGAAAATGCACAGTGCACCAGTGGGACACATGGGCGACCGCCAGTATGTCCCTCATCTCACAAAGAGTGCATGGAAGATACGGGGTTCTCAAGAGCTGCAGTTTTGGAGGCGCGCAAATGTACCCTGTGCGTGTCTATCAAAGACAGAAATAAGTAGCTGGCAGCTTGCCACAGATTGAAGGGGCCCGTCTTCATCCGACATGCCGCCCTTCAGCCCCTTCGCCTCCCTAAGGTTGCTGGGAGCACAGGCCGTCTCAAAGTCTTCACTTCCCACAAGAGCCCACGCGTGACCTATGCAAAGCCACAAGCCACACACTCGAAAGCAAGTTGCCGTGCCGCAAATGTCTGATTGACGCGTGTCCGCTCGCCAGTAATGCATGCACTTTGCGTTGGTCTGACTCAAAACTCCTTCGGCAGCGTCGATGCCCCTGCGTCCAGCAGCAGGGCCTTACCGATGTTGAGATAAAGTGTATTGGGGTCGTCGCTGTAGGGCTGGAGCTTAAAGACTCCCGGAGGAGGATCGGATCCCGGAGGTGGTTGCTGCGGGAAACCTTGCTCGGGTTGGAGTCTGGCGGCGTAGACGTCAATGGAGTGAGTGACTGAGGTCGCCCGTAGCGTCAAAAGCTCGTTCGCGAAGGCGTCTGCTTTTTCAGAAACTACAGAGGGGCTCCAGACAAATCGCTCGGGGATGCCCGCGCGGATTGTTCCGCGCACTGGGAAACCCGTCCGCAACACTCGCGCGGGGGGTGACTCGGAGGCAGAAGCTTCTATTTTTGCGAGCAGCTCGTAAGAACACATCTCAGCACTCTCCAGCGAAGGCGCATGCACCTGAAAACGGCAGGATGCAAGGGAGACGACGGAAGGAGGGGAAAGCTGGGGGCGGCAAGGCGAGGGCTGAAGAAAGTGCTAGAGGAAGGCCGGCGTAGACATGTGGAATCACAGAGACACGCACAGCTTTGATGGGAGCAACAGGGCTATATATATTCGCCTTGAAAGGCCAAGAGACCACAAACTTCCGAGCATAACCGACAGGGCGGCAAGAAGAGGCAAACAAGCACAGCGCGAGAGTAGACATGACAAGAGAGCCGGAGCACAGGGGTGGTACGCAACCACGTACAAGAAGAAGAAAGAAGCCCTCCGTCCACGGCCTAGCCCTTCGAGTTACAATGATCTGTCGATTATCCGGATAAGGCCAGGCTTTCACCTCCCCATCTGGCCATCGCAGCGAGAGCGAAACTCCACAACCTGTACTCTCGAGGGCTATCTTTAGGGCAGCGTCCTCATCAGTTTCGATCAATGTTGGATGCAGGTCTATTCGAAAGTAGTCAGTACTTCCCCGGTGAAGGACACCTCGCACAGGAGCTCCGGAAGCGATGGGTGTGACAGGAATAGCGGAGGAGTGACTGCCATCCAGCGTTATGGAAAAGGGTTGCGGCACCGGGGACGCAACATCAATTCTCAAGACACAGAGGTCAAGCGCCTGAGATACTTTCGTCGCCTGAGATACCTGCTCTGTAACAGCAACCTCCGCCTGTGAGTCGGGGAACGTACAAGAGAGCGCCCTCTGCTGAAGGGCTACCTTTGTATGATGGATTTTTATATCCGGAGAAGCCAATCCGTCCGTCCACCACTGGGCCGACCCCTCACTCAAAGGTGTTAAATCCCGAAGGTTTGCTGCCTTCTCAACGGCCACAAAAGCATCAGCCCCACTCTCCACATTCACTGCACGCAAATGCAACAAAAATCCCCGCCAACAAGGGCAGAGCTGAAGGTCCTAGAGAAGAGGCTCAAAAACAAGAACCCCGCTGAGCACGCACGTGGAAGAACAGAACGGTGGCATGTCTGTCCGCTGCCAGCACCTCAAGCAGGCGGAGCAGCATAAAATAGACACTGCATGACAGCAAAGGAACTAAATGAGTCCTTAGTGGCAGGCCTAGGGCGGCAGGTCAGGAGCCGAAGCGAAAGGAGACACACACCGGAAGTGACACGAAGGCACATGTCTTAAGAAAAACTCTATAAGAAAGGCTAGGGATTCCTGCCCTTTGTGCGTCGAAGAAAGTGCAGTGGGCATGCTTGCGGCAACAGTTTCCAAACCCAAAGCCCTCAACGCACGCGTGACTCGGTAGTCGAATTGCTGCTTGAGGTTGGCGAAGACAAAGGTCTTGTGCCTCTTGGGTTGCAAGACTCCACTGATCGATCTACCCAGTGGGATAAAGGTAACCTCGTCCTCATCAATGTCTGCCGTAAGGGTGAACTTGCTAGGCTGTGCAGCCGTGACAAGTACGTAAAAGGTGCATGCCCCATGGGCCTCAACAACCCGTCTGTTGCAGTGCTTCCTAAAGAGGGGGCTGCCACGCGAAATATACACCAGATCATCTCCAATGTCATCCGAATAAAACAACACTGTTTCGGGGTGGCGGTTTGATACGTCTCGCCGTGCACCAACGTACATCCCTGCATCGCCGACTGCGCCACCTGCACAGACACCGCACATAAACTCCAAACTCAAAGCGTTGTTCCCTCAAGAATCACGCGGCAGAAGGGCAGCAGCAGCAGAATGAGCATACGCTCCACAGAACATAGCAGTGAACACGGCATCTGGCCCTAAATGTACAGCCTGCTGCTGCTGCTGGTGCCCCCGCTAAGCTAAATTTACGCGTGTCGCAGACAGTGCGGAGGGCTTGCGCCTACTCGTTAGCGTCAAAATGATGTCTTTGGATAAGTTTAAGACCTGCAAGACAAACAACCTTTCCTCTTCGGGACCAAGAAAGCCCTCTGCGGGTTCGCCGATGGCGAGCGGTATAGCATGCCGAAGAAAGCTGCACGTGATGGAGAACTTGTCGTACTGCGCGTCCGTGGGCGTTGCTGCTGCCGCCTGAGCTGCTGCTGCTGTGTTTGGTGCTTTCGTTTCTGGAAGAGAAGGGCCTCTATTCTCGGGGTCAGGCGCCACGGGATTGGCGGCATGTGTGGAATTAAAGCCCTCCGCGACGATAACGTAGGCAGCTTCTAGTCCCAGCTGAGTAGAACCCTCTCCCTGCTCTAGCATCTCGAGTACACTTACGGACGGAATGCTTCGTTGAGAAGCCGCCGGCCAGTAGATGGAGCCTGAACAATCGCTCACAAACGCCAACCTCTAAACCCGTAGCGGCCTCCCTCCCGACGCCCTCCTAAGCAAACCACGCAAAATTTCGATGCCTCGAAATCACCCGGGTGTTAGATGTCGAACTCGCAAGCAACGATCCAGCACCCAGCTCTGCGAGCCTTACTAGGGTCCTCAGGTAGGGGCAGTTTGTAAGCCTCGGCAGGAAACGCCTTGAATCCCTTGGGCACCTCCGTGTCGCCCCATGTTACTGCATTCGCAAAGAGTCGAACTGAGGTAGCTCCGAAACGCGTCGCTGCGCACCGCATGGCGGATTCAACAGGCACCCCTCCAGCTGCAAGGCGCAAAGCGCAAGCACAGGGGAAGACGGCCTCAAGACCTCACCACAGCGAAGCCACCCACCCGCGTTTAGAACAGTGTAGAGGGGACGCTGCAATTCTAAATCCTCGAGTTACGTGGAATCTAGGCTAACGACACGAGTGTCTCTAGGTCGCACCGAGCTCCAAGCTGAACGTAAGCGGGAAGATAAAGATTTTTCTGTGGTTTGGGTCGGAAGGATCCGCAGATATGTCCTCGGCGACATGCACCCCGTCCATGAGGTGTTGCGCCCGTGATTCAATGACTTGGAGTTTTGGACTTCTGTGCACCCGCACGCTGCCATCGGCAAGGGCTCCTACACTTGCGGTGATCTGGAGCGACACTGGGGAATCCTTCGTTGCAGTGCTGAACAGAATCTTCCAGAGACCTACAGCTTTCTCTGGATCCACCTGAAGGGCGCTCTCCGCATGCTTTCGCTCTAGCCGGATGACCGCCGATAGGGGCGTCAGCCGGTTGGCGTCAAAAGTATATGGCACGGTGGCGCCTGGAGGAAAGACATAGGCATCCGTCAGTGTGTCGCTCGTTACCAAGCTCAGATGAAAGGCCAAAGGACTGAAGCGCAAGCAACAAAATCCTGGAAATGCCCGATTCCGCAAGCTCCAGAGAGCACAACACGCGCATGCCCGATGCGCGCTCGTGTAGAATCCCCACCCACACATACATCAAGGGCGGCGGCTACAGCCCCACTCTCTTGCTAGCCAGCGCCTTGTAGAGCCAGCATAAACTCTCAAAACACTAGCTTTCCACTCCCACACACGAGTTCCGCATTTCAAAACCCTAGAGAACACCAGTGAGACGGCTGTCAGGGCACCTGTCTGCAGCTTCGAGGTCTTTCAAATGCGCCTGAGTGACCATCAGCGTGCAGGAAAGGTCTCCAGTCTCCCCCGCCTCTGAGGCTATAGGAGGAGCCTTGTAGCCTTCCCTACCATCCACCTTTCCAAAGCGGAAGGCCCGACCCCCGTGCCAATCGCCTTGCAGCCGAGCAAAAAAGGGCACTCCATTATGCAGCATTACCGAGGACACGTGAGCATCGGCAGCGCTCTGTCTGTGCAGCAGCAGCGAGAAACTGCACTCAAATGCGCACAGACGCTTTAAAATGAACAACATGCACGGCGTCATCTATATTCCGAAGAAGAAGCCAAATGTTGCAAGCTAAGGCCGCAAAGAAGATCCCCAGGGAGGTTGCCGCCAAGCGGCACGAAAATGCGAGGAATCAGGCCAGCCAAGGAGCCCTATCGAACGGCCCATGGAAGCCCTTGGCAAATCGGCGCTTACACGCTGGTATTCCACTTAGAAAGTCTGAAGCGGATGGCGTAAAAGTGATCGGGAATAAGGCGAGGGAGGGGAAGAATGACCGTGTCGTCCTCTTCGCTCTCAACAACGGCGCAGAGCGACCCCGGCGGAGTTGTATTCGGTAAAGGCAGACCCTAGGAGGAAAGGAACAACACGCACAGCAGCAGCGAGCGAACAGGCAGCCGCTGCTACACACAGCGCCGATTCCCGACGGGGCACTTGAGTCAATCCCGCGTGCTGTTGCTGTTGGGAAAGCAAATAGAAAAGACCGCTAGACACTGTACCGCAGTGCAGACTAGCAAAGCCTGCCTGCGCAGCCCTGGAGAGCCGAAGGCCAGGAAATCGGGGATAAGGGCTTGAAGCCATGCATGCATGCGTACTGAGCAGATGGCGAGCGGCGTAAGAGCAGACTGGCAAGGAAAGACACACGTCTCAGCGGGTGACGGGCCCTTCTGCTTAGTGAGTTTGAGGGTCAGGGGTCCTCCCGACTTGTCCGTGCTGAACGCTGCATGCTCGTAGTGGCAGGACTGAGAGTAGGGAATAAGGCTGAGGAAGGTCACGTTGTCGATATCCAGGATCTCAAAGAGCCTAGGGTCCTGCTTGCTGCTTTCGCTCGACAAAGTCAATCGAAAAAGAGCATGCGACGCCTCGCGGGATCGTACGCCGCAGATAAACTCTCCGTACGGAGCCTGAGCCCGGCGATGGTCGGTCCTAACCCGCAAAGCCACCAACCCGTTGTACTCCGCCTCGTTTGTCCGCCAGCATTCCGGCTGCTCTTTTGTGGACTGCAGCACTCCAACACAAGCATGCGTCATGCAGCCTCTCCTAGGTGCTATTACGAAGAGGAGTGCCGCGCTGCCAGGCTCCGTGGGCAGCAGTGTCACTGTCTCTCCCCACGAACAGGCCCTCCAGACGCCACCCCATGCTGCCCCTACCAGCGCGGGATCGGGATGCGTTTCTCTTGATGCGTTACAACAGGCAATGCCCGGGGGCTCTCCGTCCAGGGCGAAGGCCGTGACAAGAAATGGATGATACTTATCTTTGCCCTCCCTCTGAGGAACAAGCTGAGGGGTGCAATATGCTGCCGGGTCGAAGGCAGACTCCTCAAACTTGAAACTAAAAAGCCGCAAGCTGTCTGCACGCCAAAGCACTGCACACAAAGACGGGTAGTCCTTCGCGCCACCCATTCGAATTCAACCCTCCACTCCTATCCCTTTCGCCTAAGGCCCCAGACTCTCCAGGGCGTCACGACAATCGCTGCCAGGTAGCTGTTGGAGGGCTTAAGGCGCACTTTCCGGCATAATGATATCCAGAGACTGCTCCATGCTAACAGCCGTGATGGCCGTAGGGGCCCCCACGGAGAGAATGAAATCCTGCGAGGCCTTCATATACGCCCGCAGATGAACCAGCACGTGCAGCACTCCATCCTTTTCTGCAGCACAACCCAGAAAAAGTGCGTGACTCTGAACTCCTGAGATGCCGCAGCCCAAGCCCTCCATTGCTAGACCATCCCCGCCTCCAAGAGACGCACAAAACAGCTAAACGAAGGCTCATGTGAGAGGCATCATAGCCTCCTCGTGAGGCAGACACAAGCCGAAGGGCCTCGCTGGCCCCCCGAAGGCAAGCAGTCGCTCAGCGCCACCCATCCACAAGAGCTCGCACGGAACGAATGAAAAAAAAACGACGGACTCGCTCGAGCTGACAGGTACACCGTGCCGCCAATCGTTCCCTGGGGTCCAATGGTCTCGCACTGAGCGCCGGCAGCGGCCTCTTCAGAGTCTTCCTCAGAAGAGCCGTCATACCACTTGTCTTCCACCTCCGTGACAGTTTGAGGAACACAGTCCCAAGCAGCTAACAACACGAACGGCGAAGACACCTGCAGATCGCTCGAGGTCGCCACTTGCTGCTTTTTGCTCAATGTCTGAGGCGTACGTACGGCACCCGAAACACTCAACCCCGAAAACTGGATCCTTGCTCTACCTTTAGACGCGCATACATGTACACACACATTTACCAGTGTGCCCCTTGCAGTTCAATATCTGCGAAAGTCTGCCGGCCGTGGAGAACCCAAGAGAGGCACTTCGAGGGTCCATATCTTGCAGCATACGGGCTCAGAGGTCGAGTTTGAAGGCAAGGGTATGGAACATACCAGCTCGAGAATATCTCCTTCTCCCAGTCCAGGGTTACGAAAGCAGCCGTTTTCTTGCGTGCAATGCAACACGAAATGAGCTGCTGAGTGCCGGGAGGCCCTTCCAGAGACCGTGCTACACGAGAAGCCCCCTCCGGTTCCCTCGGCGGCGCACTGAGCACACCCCACACCCCGCACTCAGAAGCCAAAAGACTGGGGATTTAAAGGCAAGCAGAGCGCACTGTACGCAATGCCCGTCAAGCCGCCCATAGCCCGCAGGGGGCGACTAGCATGGGCTGTAAAGATCCCCGAAACTCTACGCCCTGAAGCCTAGGATGCCCTTCTCACGCGTATTTTATTGGCGTTGGTGTCAGCGGCAGAGAGGCTATTTAGATGCGCGGTCAAGTGCGGCTTGCAGGGTTCGCTACAGACGACATAAACAAAGAGAGAATCCGCCGAAGCAGCCCCCAAAAACCCCTCTGGAGGCCCAAGAAAATTTCTAGCGTCTCCAAGCGACACGTAGGTGTAGATGCTTCCCGTTGCCGTGATATCGCGTCGTTCCTGGCACTCGTCTGAGGCTTCGCTGCCGGTGAAGAGCAGCAAGCGGAGTGTCTGAGCACCCACCCACACACCGTGAGCCTCCAGCCTTAGAGCCTTCGGCCATGCATTTGCGCCTTTCTAGAGGAGGCAAGAGCGCGTGTGTGGCGAGACCCTTGTGGGGGAGGGGGGCGGATGGATGGATCGGGAAAATCCAGGAGCAGCAGCAGCTCGAGCCTTAAGGCCTGGAGTAAGTGCTGCGCAGCTCACGGTGAGAGGGGAATCCGCTACCACGAAAAACGCTAGCAACGGCACATCATCCGCAAGAACAGGTGTCTGCAAGTGCACGGGGAGGGATGCACTCAAGGGCCCCAACTCTCGCAGAGGCAACGCAAGGCGATGCAAGCGCGAGGCGCCATCAGCGAACCAGGACCAGTCGGCAAGCCGTCCTAGCGATATCTGGAAAAGCACAACATGCAAATCCAGTGCCCGCATCCTGGAAACGGCGCGAGCTGCTGCAGAAACACGACTCGCGCGTCCTCCTCTCTACGTCTGCGCAGCCAGGCAAGAAGGCCCCTCTGCTATTCCCCCACGACTACGCAGCGCTGCATGGAGGAGACTTGCGCCTCCCCACAATGCGCTGCTGCAGCAAGCCAAGCCAAGCCAGGCCGACCGTGCCCTCACTCCTCCTTACACGCAAGTAGTGCTGCCTAAAAAGAAAACTTACCCGCGTAGGCGGGGAGCCTGGCCGTTCCTTAAGGTAGCTGCAGTCCTCTCGGATGCCGCTGCTGCTGTAGCCCCCATTGCCGCTGGTATTAGTGCCGCTCCCGAGGAGCAGTTCTTGCAGCTGCTTGCTTGCCGGGTCGTCTGGCGTCACGGCTGCCTCCAAGCCGACGGCGTCATGCTCCGGAGAAGAGCTCCGTGGCAGTGCCAAAATAGGGGGCCCCCCTTCGCCACTCGCCTGCCCTCCAACGGCGTCACGAGAGTCACCCCCAAACGCAGAAGTAGGGGGAGAAGCGCCAGCATCAAAACCCACAGATCCGTCAGGAGGCGACGTCGAAGATGACACTTCAGAAACCGATTGAGCCATCTGCACTATATCTTTCACATCCAGGGAGTGAGCATGACTACCGGCCGGCACAGCCATCGCTGAATCCATGCGGGGACCCTGCTGCTGTTGCTGTTGCTGTTGCTGTTGCTGTAGCATCAACAACAATTGCTGCAGCACCGTCGACTGGCTCCGGCTATGCTGCTGTTGCTGTTGTTGCTGTTGCTGCTGCAAAAGTTGTTGCCCCTGCGGAGTCTGTTTCTCTGCCTTTTGCTGCATCTGCTGCAAGAGAGCCTGCTGCAGTGGCAACTGGACCGGGTGCTGTTGCAGCGCTGGCTGCTGCGACCCCTCTAGCTGCTGCGCTTGCTTCAGCTGCGGCAGCAACTGTTGGAGTTGGGGTAACAGCTGCTGAAGCTGCGGTAGGGTCTGCTGCAGCTGCGACTCCTCCACCAGCGGCCTATACGGCTGCTGCTGTGGAGGAGCTGTGGGTTCTGCTGGTGCAGGAACCACCCCGCCAGCAACAGCAACAGGAGGCACCTGGCTTCGGGCCGTAGAGGCCTCGTTTGCTCCGGCTTCTTGCATTGATTTTGCTAGTGAAGCGGTTACTCCTAAAGTAGACGGCGGCATTGGCGTTCTTGGGGTCTCTGCAGCTGTTGGAGTAGGTGGAGTTGGGAGGGTTATTGTAGCTGGTGGAGGTGGTTTTTGAGCTCCGAGACCTCTTTGCTGGGGAGCTGGCCTTTCTTGAGCTTCCACTGCCCACAGCCAGGGGCTGTGTCGCTCATGGCCATGGCTCAACAGCAGCAGCAGCAAAAGCAACAGAATGCCTTGTGGGGAGCATCCCCGCCGGAGGAGCAGCAGCTGCTGCTGCATTATATCGCACTCAGCGGCGGCAGCAGCTGCTCAAAGTGAGGGGAGCTAGGGCATGCTAAGCCTACAGCCCTTGTACTGCACAGGAGAGTGGAGAGGCCTCAGGGGTGCTCCTACAGCCGGGCATCTACGCCGAGCTAAAGCCCTGCAGGCTAAACTTTAAACCCTATCATAGCAAGCAGATAGCAGTGGTCCCGCTATCTTGCAAAAAAAACCCGAAAGCCTTGTCGAAAAACGGTGTATTCGCAAGGCTCATCATGAGGGGCTGAGCTCCCCCCCCGGTCCCACAGCGCGAACCCCCAAGTCCAGCAAGCGACACTTCTTCCTGCATCCTAATCGCGCACACTCTGAAAACTAAGTCATATAATAATAAGGCTTAAATCCCGAACTCAAAAACCCAAGAGGGCAAATCCTTTAATCGGGGACCGCAAATTCCATTCCGCCAGAGCGCAAGGGCTTCACCCTACAAGGACCTACACGAAATCCCACTTGAAAGCCTAATAATGTCTGCGAGTACAAAAAATCCTTAACCCAAGATGTTAAAGCCTAAAGACTCAGAACGTAACAAACCCTTAACTATTTAGCCTCAGAACCAGGAGAACTAAAAACCGAGAGCGTGACCCTCAAGCTATGACCGTGAAATCAAAGCCTGAGAGTGTAGATGCTTAGCCCCCGATCGTGTAGCCTAAGCACTGAGCGAGCTCATCCTTACGCCAAGAGATGTACGTCTAGAGTCCGATAGTATAACCCTTTACCTCTAGACCAGGAAACCAAAGGCCCTGGAGTATACCCTTACACCTTCAAAACGGGGAATCCTTAAGTCTGAGAGCGTAAACCCTTACCCCAAACTCGTGAAGCTCAAAGACTGAGCGCGAACATCCTTACGCCAAGAGATGGAGGTCTAGAGTCTGAGAGTATAACCCCGTACCTCTAGACCGGAAAAGCTAGAGTCTGAGAGTGTATACCCTTACCACAAAATTAGGAGAACAAAAGCCTCAGAGTGTAGCACTTCACCCCTGAACGGGAAAACGTAAGGTCTGAGAGCGTAGACCCTTAACCCAAAATCGTGAAGCCCAAAGACTAAGCACGTAAATACTTACTCCAAGACCGGTAAACCTAAAGCCTGAGAGTGTATACCCTTACTCCGAGACTGGGAATCCTAAAGCCTGAGGGTGTTACCTTTTACCCTGAGATTGTGAAGCCCAAAGACTAAGCACGTAAATACTTACTCCAAGACCGGTAAACCTAAAGCCTGAGAGTGTATACCCTTACTCCGAGACTGGGAATCCTAAAGCCTGAGGGTGTTACCTTTTACCCTGAGATTGTGAAGCTCGAAGACTATGCGCATAAATACGTATTCGAAGACCGGTAAACCTAAAGCCTGAGAGTGTATACCCTTACTTCAAGACTGGGAATCCTAAAGCCTGAGGGTGTTACCTTTTACCCTGAGATTGTGAAGCTCGAAGACTATGCGCATAAATACTTACTCCAAAACCGGAAAACCTAAAGGCCGAGAGTGTAGACACTCACTAAAGATCTTAAAGTCTTCACACTTTACGCGAAATCCCTTACCAAAAAAGGAGGAAGTATATTGTCTGAGAGTGCAAACCCTTAGCCAACGACGGGCAGACTTAAAGCCCTAGGGTGCGGACCCTTTTCCCGAGACCGGAAGACCTTAAGTCCGAGGGAGTAATCCCACAACTCCAGATCTTGAAGTCTTCATATAGCACGCGCAAACCTTTACCCAAAGAGGAGGAAGTATATGGTCTGAGAGTGCAAACCCTTAGCAGAAGACGGGCAGACCAACAGCCTGTGAGTGCAGACCCTTACCCGAAGACCGCGAACCCCAAAGCCTGAATGTGTGTATCCTTAGCCCAATGTTGCGAAGGCATACGACTAATCACATCAATCCTTATCTACAAACGGAGAAAGCTAAATTTATTCATAGATTGAGACAGTGAAGCCTAGAGACTGCTCTTATGAACCCTCACCCCACGACCCGGAAACAGGCAGCCTGAGAGTGTAAACCCTCGGCTTGAGATCGTGAAGCCTTAAGGCTGAGCGCGTAAACCCTTACACCAAGATCAGGAAACCGAATGCCTGAGGGTGCAAACACTTATCAGAAGACCGGGATACCGGGAGCGTGTCAATGTAAACTCTTCGTCCAAGACCGTGACTGCTGTATGAGCACGGTAGGTTAGTTTTCCCCGCACTACTCCCATTTAAAGCAAGCGACATCTAAATGGAGCGCGCAAAATGAAAACTTAGTCCATCGAAAAGCAATATAAACGGCTCGCGCTTTCCAAGGGCATCAGCCAAGTATGCTCGGTGCGTTAGAGCGAAGGGGGCCTTGTCCGTCACAGCGTACGGGCAGAGAGGGAGAATATGGGCTTCCCTGTGAGTTAAGAAGTTAGCAATGGTTCCTTTAAAATGTCTTATAGATTTGTTTTAAATAAGTGAGGTGGTTCGTTGCACGTGCAGCTGCCACGAAAACAGAATCTCTATGATCCCAGCTCTAGAGGCTTCAACGGTCATCGGACTGCTGGCCTCGTCTGCCGCTGCCTCAAGGAGTTTTGAGCTGTTGTGAGGACGGCACTGCCTGTTCTTCTGACGTGCTCGACAGCTGTCTTCGTTCACACCAATTTCGATTCTTCGTAGGGATTGATTTTATGCTTTAATTTAACCTAATTAGCCAGCAGATACTCCAACATGAGAGAGATAGTTCACGTTCAAGGTGGCCAGTGCGGCAACCAAATCGGCTCCAAGTTCTGGGAGGTTATCTCGGATGAACATGGCGTCGGCCCCGTAAGCTTCTTCACAAATGCCCCGGTTGAGTGCTTTAGAGTCAATTATCCCAGCACCTTTACCTTTCCAATATACAAATATGTGGCGGCTGGTGTGGGCCGCGGGAGAAGGAGCAGCAAATCAGGCACCCCATGTCTGCCGACTGCTTTTATCATCAGTAGTACAAATCTCAAATAGAACCGCCGTGTATTGCATACTCCCACAGTGTGACTTATCCCGAAGCGAAAGCTCTCGAGGCTCTCATCCCAGGTCTCACGCTGTGATCCAGACAGCCATGAGGTAGCCATTTTCGATGGCGGTCGTAAGGCATGATACGTATATCCCCCAATTGTCAAAACTGCTCAAACCGGAGAGTTATGGGTTAGGCTTGTTGTATGTTTATGTGTTATTCCTTTTGCCCCTCATTTTTACTTGCAAATGCGAATTCGCGCAGTCCGGTGAATACCGGGGAGACAGCGATCTACAGCTGGAGAGAATATCAGTCTTTTTCAATGAAGCCACCGGGGGCCGTTTTGTGCCCCGTGCGGTGTTGATGGATTTAGAGCCGGGTACCATGGACTCGGTGAGATCGGGACCACTTGGCCAGATATTTCGACCTGATAACTTTGTCTTCGGCCAGACTGGGGCTGGAAACAACTGGGCAAAGGGCCATTACACTGAGGGAGCAGAACTAATTGACGCGGTAATGGATGTTGTGAGGAAGGAAGCTGAAGGATGCGACTGCCTGCAAGGCTTCCAGGTCACCCACTCCCTGGGAGGGGGCACCGGGAGTGGCATGGGAACTCTTCTGATAAGCAAGGTGAAGGAGGAGTATCCTGATCGGATTATGGAAACCTTTTCTGTCTTCCCGTCGCCAAAGGTTTCTGACACAGTCGTGGAACCCTACAACGCTACTCTCTCGGTACACCAGCTTGTTGAGAACGCTGACGAGGTGCAGGTGATTGACAATGAAGCATTATACGATATATGCTTCCGCACACTAAAGCTGAGTACGCCAACGTACGGCGATCTAAACCATCTGGTTTCAGCTGCAATGTCTGGAGTCACGTGCTGCCTGCGCTTCCCGGGTCAACTAAACTCGGACTTGCGCAAGCTAGCGGTCAATCTCGTGCCTTTCCCAAGACTCCATTTCTTCCTCATCGGTTTCTCCCCCCTTACAAGCAGAGGCTCGCAGCAATACAGAGCGCTTACTGTCCCAGAACTCACCGCTCAGATGTTCGATGCCAAAAACATGATGTGTGCCTCTGACCCACGACATGGCCGCTACCTCACTGCTTCTGCAATGTTCAGGTATGAAGGACAAACACGAAATTTTGTAGAACTGCTTTTAAAAATGCCTTGATAGTGGATAGCTGAGTAGATGGCTTGAGTCGCTTTCTGCAAACTGTGCTTCCTGCCGTTGCAAATACGTTGCTTCTATTAGGGGGAGAATGAGCACGAAGGAGGTGGACGAGCAGATGCTCAACGTGCAGAACAAGAACTCGTCCTACTTTGTTGAGTGGATTCCCAACAACATGAAGTCCAGCGTATGCGATATCCCGCCTAAGGGGCTCAAAATGTCTGTTACCTTTATTGGCAACTCGACGGCAATTCAAGAAATGTTCCGGCGTGTAGCAGACCAATTTACCGCCATGTTCAGGCGCAAGGCATTCTTGCATTGGTGCGTCATTCGGAACCTCGCAAAAAATAAGTTACGAAGTGGCCTCGGGCTGCCTTGGAGGATGTGAAACGGCCGTATGCGTATTGCTAGTCGGGGTGTAATGCCTAGCGCCTCTGGAGGGCCCGTACAACTGCTTTGTTCTTCGATAAGCTTACAAAATTGCGAGATCTTGGGTGCTTCAGGTACACCGGAGAGGGTATGGATGAGATGGAATTCACAGAGGCGGAGTCAAACATGAATGACCTAGTCGCCGAATACCAACAGTACCAGGTGAGGAGAATAAAGGGGGGCGGCAGCGTCGGAAGAGCATGCAGGAGTCCTCCAAAGCGATGGTAGCAATTCGCCTAACGTAACGCCAATGTGTAAACGCTTCTATATGTATTTTGCTGCAGGACGCCACGGCTGAGGATGAGGCTGACATGGAAGAGGATCATGAGGCCGAGGCCTAAACCATTCTTTAAACTCAATGCAAGCATCAAATCTTTAGGTGAACGTAAGTAACGATCGTTTTACTGCGGAAAAATGAAGGGTTTTTTGATGAACGGGTGCATTACAGCACACCTTTAATTTAGTGGACGAGCACTAGCAACTCGGGGCATCACTTTGGGCTCGGAGCACGGGCGCTTGTTTATTGGCTCTGTAGATGACGTTTCGTATTGAGGCCATGATATTGCTTTCATGGTCAGACCAGACGATTATGCGCTTCTAACAAGCAGCAAGATGACCAGTGGTTACCTCAGCAAGATCTGCAGCGTATAGCAGGGGCATCGACGTACGGGTCACCGGCCCCGCAATGCTAACTCTATTAGTAGCATTGAAGTAGCTATTTTTGCGTGATTCACGCCCAATCGAACTAAACTGGTATCGAAGATATCCAAGGTGACGCGCAGCCTCGAAGCAGGAACGACGAGGTCGAAGCTTCTGTAGATCCTTACCCCCAGTTATGCACAGTGCTTGTAGACTCTCGGGTGTCTTTCCGAAGTGAATAAGCGCGATCTACAGCGTGTCTGTACTAGGCTCTGCGGTAGGATGCGTAACTAAAGATTGGTATGCTCAGATAGCTTGCAACGAAGGAGAATCTGATTCGACGATTGAGGAGTTCACGCTCTCTCGAAGCTAGAACAACTGCGGGGCCCCAAAGCTACCCCCCTGGAGGATGCCTCTAAGGCTTCCTGCTGGCACGTGGGTGAGCAGTGCCTCCTTCTGGTTGGCCTTTTCACCTTCGTTCCCGAGCATATCTGCAACTGCATCAAGGCGCTGCAACATCGCGAGCCCGGGGGCGCTGTACAGGAGGGGAAGGGCCCCTCTGTACACGTCGAGCTTCAGGGGCAGCAGCTGTACTTGCTGCTGAGGCTGTTCGGGTTTGATCACCTGCCGAGTGCGCAAGGCTTGGAGACACTTGCTAAAAGGGGCACCTAGCACGCTGGTGTCGTTCGCGATCACTATCTGATCCCCTGGAGTAGACGAAGACGCACGCAAACAGTGACAAATATTTAGCCATATGGTGTCTTGGTGCAGCTGCTCTCCCACACTCACTCTTATCGGACGAGGCCCAGGGGAATCCCCTTGGCGCGAAGCCTGGGCCTACCTTGCATAAGGCCTGCCTCGTCTGCTTTGCTGCCTTCGACCACATATGCGATGTACGAACCTCCCAGTTCCTGAGGATTTGCGTCGACAGCAAAGCCCCACGGGGCCTCTACCGTTGTCTGCCTGCGGATGCACCCGTCCATGCCAAGCAAAAAACGCGAACATACACGCAAGGGAGACAGACGCACAGTGAGGAGTGACCTGGGCATGTGTGGGTGTATCGGGTAGCGGGGATGCGGAAACGGAGCCAGGTGCATGCTCATATCGCCATGAGCGAAGTGGTCTCTTTCAGAAAAGAGGAATCTCTGGCAGTCATAAGATGCCGCGCACAGAGTGCTGCGCTGGCTCGCACGAGTGGGAGAGAGAAACGACACGTGGCTTGCTGCTGCAACAAGTAGGGCTAAACAGCGGCTCGTTGCTAGACCTGCAACCCAGAGAGGCACCAGGCGCAGGATTTATTGTTGCTGCAACAGCCAGTCCAAGTCTCACAACAAAGTAGGCAGCGCGCCGCGCAGCTCCTTCGGATCCAACTTGGCCCTCCTCAGAGCTCGCTCAAGGGCCTCGGTAAGCCTTGCAGGGATAGCAGCAGCAGCGATGGAGGCAATAGCAGCACGCGGCGAAGATTTCGGAGTCGCTGCTGCAGCACAACCCGCAGCCAGGCTTTCTGCCGTCTTGTAGCAGCAGTTGCTTTCCCACAGCCGACCTCGAAGGCGAAGTGCATGGCCCAGCGTGCACCAGGAGAGCGGTAGTAGGGGAGCAGCCTGTGGAAGGGGCGGCAACAGAAACAAAGCACAGACGGGAGTCTGAACATCTGTAGACCCCTTTATAGCTCCGTGGAAGTGGCACCCGCATGCTGCTGCTGCTGCTTTCTTACAAAGAAAGCGAACGCACAGGCGGCTCACACAGCCCTCTAGCACGTGCATGCGCCTGCAAGCCAGTGAGAAGCGCGGCAAGGGAGCAGTAAGATCCCTTTTGGAGCCTCTTCTTGGCCAGAAGCACAGATGAAGGCCACAGAAAAAGAGGTTCAAGTCGGAGACACAGACAGCGATTGGCGGGGGGTGGAAAGTCAGGTAAATGGAGAAGAGAGAGTGCCTAGAGACCGTGCAGACCCAAGGGGAGGCAGCTAGCGGCCGTGAAGGGCAAACACCCGGAGTGTATGTACACCTCGACTGCCTGAACGGCCGTTGGAAGAGCGTCTTCGCCCGCCTTTTCCCTGAGCTTTGCCGTGGCCTCTGCACAGAGGAGCGAGCTCCAAAGGATTCCACGTCGCAGAGGAAGGGCAGCGCGACATCTTTGCAGAAGCACCGCCTGCTGTGGGAACCCTTGCTGGTGCAGCTTCTGTTGCTCCAGCGCTTGGCTTGCCATACGAACTGCAGCAGCGCCATCGGATCGGCGCGAGGCCGCTGGAATCACGAGATCGGCGGCAAATGCAACGTCTTTTAGCGATCGAATCAATACAAGGCCTCGCTCTCGCCTTGTGCTGCTAGCTTCAAGGCTGCTGCGTTGGAGGTTCGCAGATGACACGCCGCGATCTTCGAAAAAAATGTGCACCTGCACAGCACCCTCCTCTAAGGCTTGTTTGAGTCCTGGCTGCTGCTCGAGGCGCTGCAGCTGCTCTTGATTGGGCGTAATGAGCTCGTAGACGACCTGGATCTCGCTATCGCTACCCCACAGGAGACACTGGAGGGTCTCTTGCACCAATGCGGCAGCAACGGCATGAGACGGCGCGTGCAAGAGCTGCACGACAGCCAGCCACTCCTCTGGGCGACTCGCAGCGCAAGCAGACACGGACGCGACTTGCGGTGGATCCGGCGAGACTACATTCGACGGGGGCGTAGAAACTGGTGGGGTTTCAGAGACTGAAGGGGTTCCAGGGACTGACGCCGCTCCTTCGGTTGCAGAGTCTTCGGCAGCAGTTGCAACATGTTGAGCAGCACCACGCCTAGTGATGGCGCGCCTGCTGCACCCCCCAAAGCCTGAGCACTTTCCTGCTGCCCCCTTACCTCGAGAAGCCAAGCGAGGCAGTGGGAAAGAGCCTTTGTTGGCTGCGTTCGTGTTCACGCGAAGAAGAAAAGCAGCACGGGGGCAGGTGGTACCCCCTCTGCAGAGGATGGCCCCAGCTGTGCGCGCGCGACCAGGCGTGCGTGGCGCTGGAAAAGGATACTTGGCAGCCGTCCTCCCAGCAAAAATCGTCAGCAGCAACCAACAGAAAGCGAGCAACGCGAGATGAACTCGCAGCCCACCGGCAGTCGCCCCCCTTGGCGGCAGAGGCCTCGACACGGCCATTGCCGCAGACTTCTAGGGGGTCTCTACATCTCGGGGGCACCATGGCAACCACCTGGAAACAATTCGCTGAAAAGACACGAGGCGCAATTTTCGGAGAAGGCAGACACACACTCCAGGCACTCACGCGCAGCTTGACGGACGAGTCGGCGGCAGCGGGGAAGCCCTTCCGTCGACGCGGTGTCCACAAGTCGGCATTTACACCTGTTCTATGAATAATAGTAAGCGTTCAAAAACGGATCTAAACTCTGATTGAGAGGCGCTTTTACAGGAACCGCCTACCTCTTAATGTATATAAATATATACTAGTACCTCCCCGTGGCTTACTACTCTTGCCACTGGATACCCCCCTCCCATCCCCCTGCACCCCCAACAACTCAAGCCTCCCCATAGCCCCTTACTCAACAACTTTCCAATTAAGCTCAACAAGCTGTCATCAGAAGCTTTACAGCGCCTTCCTGGTGAAATGCCCACGGGCTCCTACACACCCCTCCCTACCTCCTGATACGCACTCCACCTCTGCCGACTGCCTGTCCCTCCATGGACTCCCGCTGCTGCAATGTCTCCAAACGGCATAAGAAGTATGGAGAGACAGCACCTACAACAGTTACCTAAGTTCAACCAAAGAGCCACTTGAGCGACACCTAACCTAAATTCAGCCACCACGGGCCCAGTAACTCGACCCAGGTCACTCAGCTAGCCATTCGAGGCAGCTCCCCCACACAGCCACTTCATAGCACCGAAATAAACCTACCCGAAAAACCGAAAACGGTAAGGGCGAACTGGCGCACCGCTCTACGTGGGCTAGCCGCTGCGACACATGGCAATAGCCACCCCAAAGGACACCCAAGGAGACCCCCCCTAAAAAAACCCCACACCATGAATAGTTAGCTGCCCGTCCGCCTCGGCCTGGAGCACATACATCATACGGACCGCCGGGATGCACGCATGCTGGCTTCGTCATTTATTAAAATCTGGTAACTATGATAGACTCGAGGACAGCACTACCGAGAACTCCACATAACCGAGTTTCTATAACCAGCAAGCCTAGAACAAGGAAGCCTCGCCTCCAGCCACCGAGAGCGAGCGGCGCATTTATCGCTTGCAGTTGTCTCGGCAGCCGCCTCGGGTCCCATTGTTCACAGTGTCGCTGTGCACTGGTGTAAATGCATGGACCACGCTTTAAGAATACAAATACCCATGCAGCGGGCTTCCTAAAATGGCCAAGTCAAGTAGCTAAGCGATGTTTACACTATACACAACCAAACAGCCGTTCCAGCTGCCATCCTTATTGCTGTAGAGCCGGTGCAGCCACTGCACTTGCTGCAGCTGCCCAAAGAAAAAGTATGCACGCCATCCCTTCAGCATTAGGCTGCTGCAGGGTGTCGGCTTGCCGGCGTGCGCGCGGTAGTTGCAGAGAACTGACGAAAAAAATTCGAGCAGCAAACTCGTCGAAACAAGGCCCGCTAATTTTTACAGCAGCCTTCGCAGAAACGGCTTGCGTTGTTGCAGCCCCTGCTACTGCCCCTGGTGTCAGCGCAAACGCCAACTCCACTAACACATAGCTGCCGTTGCTGCGGCAGCCTCTGGGGGTCGCCCCCCCTCGTCTGTACCTGATGGCGTTGCACCTGCAGCACAGCAAGTAACCCGTGTGGTAGCCAAGTTGGGGGAAGGCAGCAGCTTCCTAATGACACCCTGCGGCAAGGTATAGCTGCAGCGGCAGCGATGAAGGTGAGGACCCCTACAGGAGTTCGAGTAGAACCAACTTACCCCCACCTCCTGGGACTGGCTGCGAGGCAGGCAGCACCCGCTGCAAGACTTCTAGCTCGGCAAGAGCAGCAGCGGCATTCTGCGCAGAACATAGAGGCACACCCATCGAAGCCTTCCCATGCCAGCCAGTGAGGGGGAGCCACCAGGAGCGCAAGCGTTCACGCCGCTCAAGCTCCATGCGGCGCACAAGCACCAGCAGTACGTGGCTACAAGAAGTGCTCCAACAGCAACATATCAGTGCATGCATACGTCGAAGCGCAGCAGCAGCTGCTCTGTCTGCCGCTGCTGAAGCTCCAACACGGAAAGTCGCCACTGCTGTCCTAGGGTCCGGCGGCTGCAGCAGAGAGCAGCGATTCACACGCAACACCCTTTCGCGAATTGAAAAGCCGCTTCTTCCACAGGCACCTTTTAAGGCCTACAAACGCACTGGCGCCGACACTAGCACCATGCAAATGCTGCTGCAAGGCACAACCCAGCAGCAGTCCTTCAAGGCTTCCACGACAACCTGACCTCCTAATAAGGCTAAGAAAACGTTTGTGACTCTCGTATGCGCAGCCAAAGGAGGGGGGTAATCGGGCAGTCGGAGGCTTAGACAGCGTGCGCGAGAAAGGAACCAAGAACTCTTCCTC